CTGTTCTGCGCTGCTGGGCCTGCTGCTGCTGTCGTAGTGCGCTGTCATAATCGAATGGGACGGTAAGGTCCCAATCCAGGAATACCCTCCAGATGATCCTGTCTCTTGCAATCCTCCCTCTTTCGCTGGCAGTGCCGACTTCTGGCTCACTCCCGATGTGGAGGTGTCGGTATGGGTCTCCGGCTGCCGAGATGGCAATTTCGACGTTGGCATAGTCAGGGTGTATGGTCCTGCCATGGGGATTCTCGACCCCCAGCCTGCTGACGGACCTGCTGGAGTCGGAGTTCGGCTCGGTGGGCTCGTAGAGGGGGTCTCGGGGCGGGTTGGGGGAAGTCCTGGTTCTCAAAGCCACCCGAGAGGCATCACGGGAGTCCTGAGTGTGGTTTCCAATCCCTGGGGTGCGAGAGGCGATGGAAGGGTTACTGGGGACTGGAGGAAGATTGTGGGGGATCTCCTGGGCGACCTGGGGGACCGTCGTGGTCTATGGGTTTCGGAACCCTGTGAGGTTATGGTCCTGGTTTCTGCTGTCAGGTCGTCGAGGAGGGTATCAGTGTCCTTCTTCTTCTTGAGGGCTCCCCATATCCTGGCGGCTATGCCCGGCTTCTGGTACGGGAAACTCCTCTGGCTGGAAGGTCGTTCTGACGGAGGGGAGGATGTCATGGAGAGGGAGGTCTGAGGTTACGTTTTGAAGGATATGTTGAATCTGCTGAAAAGCTTGGTAGTGCCTGACAATCCAAGTGGTGATTGATTGTCGCCCTTGGCAACAAGTGATGATGGCTAGAAGGCTGAGCAGCATTCTGATGATGGAAGCTATTAGCTCAAAGAAGTCGTGGTTTAGGTCATGGGTCATAGCTGGAATCATTCGGTTTCTCAGCACAATTGGGCTTGAGAAAGGGAAGGAGGAAGCTTCAAGCTAATTGTTAAGCCCAAGCGTCACATGCAGTTAATCACATGATAAACGATTACACCTCGCACTTCGGGTGAATAATCGAGTCCACGTTACTGATCTCCTGCGGTGTGGCACAAGACTGATGTGTTCAGCTCGAGAGTAGAATGGTAGTGTATAAACTTTAGCTTGAAGCTGGGTTTCTCCAGCGAGAGCTACGAGCCTTAAATACTGTTTGTGTGATGTTAAAAATACTACTACTTATTGTATCGACTTGTGTCCATGGTGCCCATTGTCCTTGGGCATCGTTGTTGTACATAAAAGGGCGGCTTTGTGTCGTCAAGCGTTGTCGTATACGACCAGAGAATAAGTCCCTTGTGCTGACCAATCTCTTCTCACCATAGTCTGACTAAGCATAAATAGGGGTTAAAGGGCAAGTTTTAGGCAGAAATCGTAACATGCTGGGTACCTGTGAAAATCCTTTTGCAACAAGTCTGACCTTGTATCTGGTGATTTTCCTATCACCATCTCTTTTCAATCTGTAAGTCCACTTGCAATCTACAAGTGATCTGTCTTTGGGTAATTCTTCCAGCTACCATGTGCCTTGTCTTGGCTTTTTCAAGGCTTAATGACTCATCACTGAGATTGTCTGCAGTTTCTCCAATGCATGCATAGTCTATTGCAACATTTATAGCTTCCAAAGATGACTCTTCTGAGGTATGCTATTGTTCTGATGTTTTCACAGCTCATGCACTTGGGTTATGAAGTGTCTGGTAACTCAGTTGGGTCTTTGATGCAATCCAGGCTGATTTGTTGCATGGCTCAATCATTTTTCCATGCCATATTGAGAACTTTGATTTGATTGATAACACATCAGAGGCTATTTCTCCTTTTGGTTCAGCATTTCTGGCATCTACAAAATTATCTGAAATGCCATTATTTCCATCCAGAGTCTGCTTGACTTTGCTCTCTGACTCTCTCTCGAGTGACAAAGGGTGGAAGACTACATAGTCAGTGTCTATAGGCTCTATAGTGTTGCTTTCAGAGAATATAACATTTTTTGAGGTCTGAATCTGTCTGATTTGAGGGTTATAATATCTTTAGGCCCTGGATTCATCTGTAAGACCTGTAAAAATAAATTCCCTTGACTTTGGATCCAGTTTTGACCTCTTGTTATTTTGTTGCAACATCCAGCATTTTACTCCAAATTCCTGGAGTGCTGAAATATCTAGTTTCATGCCCTGAAACACTTCTTCTGAGGTTAAATCATTCTTAATAGCCCTAGTTAGTGATTGGTTCTTCAAATATGTGGCATATGCCACTGTCTTGGGCCATAGAAACTTCGGTAAGTGATGTTCTTCTAGCATAATGCATGCATGCTCCACAAGAGTCTGATTTATTCTCTCAGCAACTCTATTTTGAGATGGAGAGTATGCTGCAATCAATTCCAACTGTATGCCATTGTCCTGGAGGTATTTCTTTACCTCTTCATTGATATATTCCTTTCCATTGTCAATCCTCATAAACTTCAGATTCTTCCCTTTGTGGACTTTGATGTATTTTTTATATTGCTGGATTTTCTTTCAAATTTCTATATCTTGCTTTGACTTCAAAAAATACAGCATTGTCCTCTGGGATTTTCTATCTGTGAAGCTTATGTAATATCTTTCACCATGGATACCCTGAGTTCAGGCTGGCTCCTATAGATCCAAAAATATCATTTCCCCTATTTCAGTATAGTCTCTTTTGGCTTCCTATAGAAATGACTTGGTATGATGTTTGGCTTTTATGCAAGCTATGCAATCTGTCTGAGGCTCAGCTGACTCATCTATATTCATCCTCTTGACCATTTTCTTTCTAAATAGTCTCTTTACTGATCTCATGTTTAAGTGGCCTAATGTTTTGTGCCACTTTTACCATGATCAGGCTGATTTCATAGCATGGGCCTGAGTTATTTCTGGAACAATGATGTCAAGGCTATACAGCTTTGATATTTTATCTCTATAGCTGATTATCTTGCCATGTGATGAGATAATATCCATTTTGAACTCTTTGAATTTGAGTTTAAATCCAGCATCTATAATGTGCCCTATCGACATAAGATTGAATGGTGCATCAGGGCAGTGGATACACTCCTTTAGTGTGACTGGAGTGATCTTTTCTCCTTCAACCATTTTAATCTTGACAGTTCCTCTTTCCAAGCCTTTGGATTTGCTTACATCAATGACTTCATGTCCTGGAGTTTCAACATAGTCAGAAAAATATAATCTATTTTCAACTATATATCTGGTAGTGCCAGAGTCCTCTAGCCATGATACTCCTGAGAGTGAGGTAAGTGCAATGTCTGTTGCACAAAATACATAGTCATCTTCTTCTGAGTCTGATTTAGCAATATGTGCCTGAGTCTGGCCCTTTCCCTTTTCTTTCCATGACTTTCCAGAATTCTTCTTTCCATTTGGGCAATTTGTTCTGATGTGACCAGTTTCCCCATATCTATAACATGTGACTTTTGAATTAGACTTCTTGCCATGTGCTGCAAGTGTCATGGTCTGATCAGAAGTCTTTTCCTTTAGTTGGATGTTCTCCTGAAGAATTCAGAAGATCAACTTGTAAGAATCTTTCAAGTCAGCAGTATCCACTGATGAGATGAATGAATTCCATGATTCTGGGAGTGATGTAAGCAGTGTAATAGAGAAGTCCTCCTCCTCAACTTTCTGCTTAAGGGATGCCAGCTCCTCCTGATAGGACCTCAAAGTCCTAATATGCTCCTCTATGTTTCTTCCTTCTTTGCACTGAGCTCTGAAGAATTTCCTTCTGACAAGGACAATTTCCATGGGTCCCCTAGACTCATATATATCTTTCAGAGCTTTCCAGGCTTCTGCTGAAGTCTTTGAATCAGCAATATATACCAGCAGACCATCTGAAACCTGCAATCTTATTGTTGAAAGAGCCTTCCTATCACTCTTCTTCTAATCTGCCACCAGTGTCATGTCTGCTGGGGCCAGAATGCTTCCATCTGCATAATCAATTAGTCCTAAATCAGTTAGGATATTGATCATCTTGATTTTCCATGTCGGATAATTTTCTGGGCCCTTAAGGGGGTCAATTCTATACATGGACTGGCTATCCATGCAGTTCTACATGTGTATGTAAAGTATGAAAGGGTGCAAAGTGAGTAGCAACATAAGTTCAGTTATGGCTGGGGCCCATAACCTGTTGTAAGTAGAGAGCAGAATAATGTACAAAGGATTATTATTAGCCTCTTGAGAGAGAGACGTTCTACTTAAATACATTTTGTATTACTTTGAGATCTTTCTATAAGATACTAAATAAGTCTGGATCACAATCCAAGTCAGCTGCTGCTGACTGGCATCGTATCTTCAAGTATGTTCTCGTACTCGCTCAGGATTGCTATCCCAACAAGATTGAAATCAGTACTAGACATGAGGTACTGCTCCTTGAAACAACCTTGATGGCAGAGATAAGGTGCAGTGCAATCGCCTGGCAAGCCAATTTATAGAGGCTTGTACCTAGTAGCAGCGGCTTATCGATTCAATAACGGATAACGGATGTATTAAAGCTAGATAAGGCAGAGCTGAAGGACGGTTTCGATCAGCCTCGAGCAATTCCCCCTCCGAAATCGACTTCCATCTGCTCAGTCACAGGCGGGCCATTGATTTGCAGCCGCCTTCACAGACATGGATTGGTGCGGGCCCTATCGAGACGAGGGACACCTGAACACCCAAATACGCCGTAGAGGATTTCAACCCAGTTGTTCAAGCCAGTCAAAAGCTCGCACATCCCTTAATGTTCACCCACAATAATTTTACGCCCCAAAACATTATGGTGATAGAGACACCGCTAAGCTAGAAAGTCACAGGAATTGATTGGGAATGTGCTGGATGGCTACCGTCTTATTAGGAGCATTGCAAAGCAATCAACTGGAACTCTCTAAATGCAAAGTGTGGGCTTTGGAACTGAGAGCGCTGGATACCAAAAATAATTGAACCGTTCGAGCTGGAAGCAAAAGCGGATCTCAAGTTGGTACCGTTCCCATGTCCCTTAGTACTGTATCTTATCAATGTCGCCTTGATTATACCACCCTTGCTTGGGCCTATGCCTCCTTTCCTCGATACCCTAGCACTGTAACATAGTATACTTACACCTGTGTACTTTTTCTGGAGCGTAGTTAATATATGACATTGGTGTCATCACGAGCGTATGGTGAGAGTGTATGGAGTACATATCATCTCGTGCATGAGAAAGTCTATTCTGCTCTTCTGAGTCAGGCCAGTCCCAACCTATGACATGGACAGGAAGGTGGTACAACACCTGCAACCGTAATGATAAGCTATCTATGACGGTAAGAATGTTAAGAGGGGACTCAGATGACGCACAATATTATTGACAGCTTATTGCCTGTCTATAATTCGCACCCTGTTCATCACTTGACCCACAAACTGAGGGTTGTTGGATCCGGCACTTAAAGCCACTTCACAAGTGAGACCCTTCGTCCGGCAGATGTAATTGTAATATGAGTCTCTGTCGCTTAGTGAACCTCTGGGCGTCGCTATGAACCAACCTTTGTCCATAATTCTTTGCAGCGTGCGGATGACCCACTGGCACAGGACCACTCGTCTCGTTCCTGGCACAATGGAGTGGACCCTTGAGTCGGCTCCTCCAACTGTACGAAGTTCGATAACTCATCAAAAGAAACATTGATGGATGGCAATTGTACAAGAAACATGAATCCGGGGATGTTGGCGACGGACAAGGCATTAGACCCGACCTTATGATCTGCGACCCACGAATCTGTCTCGTCGCTGAAGACAGATTGATAGAGATCAAGCGGTTTATCTAGCCTGTAGTTAAATTCAGGCCGGGGGAGCGCAAGCGCCCAGTGATATTTTCCCTTCAACGTGCCGAATTCGGAGACGTTGAGAGCGATGTAGATTTTGGTGGACATGGCGGCACCGAAGAGGCAGAACCGTGAATGTTGATAGATCCGACTGTGAGCTTTGAGAAACTTCAGCGACTTTTTAAATACAGACTATACAATACCTGAGCAATAATGAAGAAATGAAGATTTGCTAAAATCCTCAGGAGCGAACCTGATGGGTATCCTGATAATAGTGAGCAGTCGAAATTCGAATAGATACTTGTTTGCCCTTGATTACCGATTCCGATAACTAATTAATCCATCAATGGGTACTTGAACTCATCTGCGGGACACATGGTCCAAAGGGGAAGAGCACTTGTTTGCCGGCGGTCCTGTTCGCGGGAAAAGCCGATTGGAGACTGAAATCACCGTCGTGCACTCACTTATCCACTGACGGTCGGCTTTCTTTCACGTCTGACTTCCTGTTTTTTTTTCCTTTCCTTTGATTCGTCGCATTTGTTCTTTGCTGTTCTGCGCTAGATTCTTCAAAAATTCCCTTCTGTGTAATAGGTGAACTCCGCCAACATTGTTCTCATTCACTATGCTTATAGCAAGTTTCTCACCATTCCAGCTACGGCTTAGAAATAGAAAGCCGCTATGGCTAAGCGACAGAGCATAGCCTCCGGTAGTGATGACTAAGACCGAACAAATACACCTCCATCTAAGAAAACTTGTGTCAACTGTGACGGCCCGCGTGGTAAAGGGAAGGCAAGAGGACAGAATGATGAAAATCAAGAAAACGGAAATAGTAGTGAAGATGTCGACACTAACATGGACTATGACGACGATAAGTTTGAAAAAAAGTACAGAGATAGGATCCTTGCATCTTTGAGCGCGAAGCATAACATTCTTGGGGTTTGTCAAATTTATTGCACTGATACTTACACTGACCTGTATCTCAGGGAGTCGCTGAATATGGTATCATTGAGTACATCGAAATGCACCAATTCATGTGCCACAGATATTTGTCGTTTGCTTTTGGGCCACAGATTAACTTTATCATTGGTATGTTCTGGAACGCCACGCCTACGTATTCCTCTAACATTCCTTGTTTTCAGTTCACAATGGCAGTGGGAAAAGCGACATCCTTTCTGCTATTACTGTGGCACTCGGAGGACGAGCCAACTCTACCGGACGTGGAAATGGATTAAAATCATTTATCCGTGAGAGACAGTCGTAAGTTTACGTTGATTCTACTGTATGTCGAATCTATTGCCTTATGAGAACCAGTGTCGCAGAAGTCATAATTCACCTCAAGAATCAAGGAGAGGAGGCCTACAAACCCCATGAATATAGAAAGACCATCGTCATTGTGCGCCGATTCACGAAAAACGGCTCATCGTCGTGGAAAATCCAAACCAAAGAGGGAAAAATTATCAGCACCAAGCGTGATGAGGTATCCACCATTTGTGATCATATGAATATCCAAGTAGACAATCCCATGAACGTCCTAACTCAAGATTTGTCAACTTATTCCTGTATTTCCTTTATCTCATTCTTTCCTATCTCAGATGCTGCGAGACAATTTCTAAGCGCCTCTAGTAAACAGGATAAATACAAGGTTTATCGAAAATAGGAGATTCACATTCTCCCGTTCATTATCTCTTTTCCAGCTCTTTCTGCGCGGCACTCAACTTTCTCAGCTGGTCCAGGAGTATGACACGTGCCACGAGAATATTATACACACGTCGAGGATCATAGAACAGAAGGGTGTTGTCTTACCTGACCTACGATCAAGCCTTAATGAAGCCAAGCAGCGCCTTCGAGAGGTCCAAAGAGCCAGATATCAGAAGAAAAGAGTCGACGAGTTGAAGAAGGAATTGGTTTGGGCACATGTCAATGACAAAAAGGCGGAGATGACAGATGCAATCAACGAGGTAGCAGAGCTGAAGGCCAGACAAACACAGATTCAACAAAAGCTGCAGAAAGCCCAGGTTTGATATACATTGGTTTCCTAATGGTTTCCGCTGAATGATCACTGCTTAGGCCGATTTCGACGCCGGGACTGCAGCCGTGACTCGCTACGAAGAGGAAATCACAGCCATGGGAGATATTGCAGATCTAACCGCGAGGAAGGAAGAGCTTGGCGACGAGCTTAGGAGCAATAAACGGCTATTAAGGGAAATGCTGGTACGTTTCCTGACTTGTCGGAGTATTCATGTGCTCACAGCTCTCTCAGAGCGATGAGAGGGAGATGCAAACCGTGTGTGCTGCGGCCAAAGCTGCCCCAGATTCTCGAGCGGATCAAACGAATGCGGTGGAAGGGTGACCTCCCTATAGGTCCTCTAGGGGTCCACGTCAAGGTTCACGACCCCCAGAAATGGGCCGAATTGCTGCGAAGGCAGTTGCGCGGTTTTTTGGTTGCTTGGGCTGTTACAGACGGTGCTGATCTATTCCAGCTGAGGAAGTTGTTGAATGAGAACGGAAAGTACGCCTCGTACGGCATCTTTACTGGAATTTTGTTTTCTGACGCTCTATTGAACTCAGCGCGGGTTTGCAGATTGTCGTCGCGAAGAGAGATCTGACATTTGATTATAGCAGCGGGGAGCCCCCCGCTCGTTATTTGACTGCCCTTCGCGCCCTTGAGGTATGGTATCCATATTTGTTTTCTGGTCAAGTTATGTCTGAAACGTTTCGAAGATATCCGACCCTTACGTTACGCAAATGTTCGTCAACCAGTATCACATTGAATCCATTTTCTTGGCTTCCACTCGTTCAGAAGGTGATGCGATTCTCCGTGACTTTGGGCGAGGTGGATTTGCATGGACCACAGATGGGTTCTTGGTCCGTCAATTTCAGTAAGTTTGTCGACATTATTGAATTCGGAGAGATAATTATACGACATCATCAGTGAAGGCGGTGGATCTTCTTCGGGATTACCGCGACCGAAGAATGATGTGACTAGATTACTGTTGAGCGGTCATGACATAGCTTCCGAAAAGATGTTCGTATTGTGTCGCTTCGTCTGTGTGTTGGGTAACGCCTCATTTTGACAGAAATTATCACCGGGAATTAGAACGGCATCAACGCGAGCGTGATGCTGGCCAGCAGTTTGTAGACCAACTCAACCGAGAGCTCGCATCAGCAAAGCGTGACTTCCAAACCAAGATGGTGCGTACAAGGTTCCCGATTTCTTCTGCTGTGAACCCACCATCTGCTTACCCTCAGAGAGAGGAAAGGGCTGCTAATGAAGCCATCCTGACAGCCAGAAGTACACTCAAAGATCACGAAGCCGCAGCTCAGGACGCCTTGCCCATCAATATTGCTGGTTTAGAGGATGCCAATCGGGTATGTGGATACTTCTGTCTGACTCTTACTCTAAATATATGCGGCCAGATTCAAGAAGAGGAAAAGAGAAGTCTTGAGGTTCAGTTTGAAGCTCACTATACCCGGAAAAGTGAAATCGACGCAGCACAGAAAGAGCTCCTGACGAAGCTAAAAGATGTTAAGGCTGATATTGACGAATTCGGCGACAGACGCGACGTCATACAGGTATGACTGACCAGTCTGGACTTTGTCGTACGGCTGACCATCCTTCAACAAGGCCAAAGCCGAAAATGCTGCCGAGAAACGGACACAGTATAGATCTAACTTTGCACACTACGAGCGTAAGCTCGCTGATGAAACCACCCGAGTGGAGCAGGTCGAGGCTAATGCAGAGGTCCTTCAAGCAGACTTTCAGGCGAGTCCAGTCATAGTGAACCCGGCGTCAGCAATTTATATGGCTCTCATGACTAGGAATGGTCTGCAAAGGCTGAAGAGTATTGCGAACGGGTGGATACACGTCGGAAACCTGATGGGATCAACAGAAACATCGAAGCGGCGCAAGCCGCTCTAGAGGAGAGGGAAAGAAGGTGCAGTACTTCTCCCAGTGCATTCCACTCTGCTCATAAGCTTGTAGAAATGGCGCTTCTGTTGAGGATATGACGACAGAGGTCAATCGGCAGAGCGATCTACTCGAAACTATCCAGAGAGATATTGGGCAGATGGCGTCCTTGGTCATTGTGAGTGGCTTGCAACAAAACTTCCCATAAAATTTATCTTTTGACATTCTCCAGGCATTAAAGAACTCTCTGACGGAGCGCAGCAAGAGATGGCACGACTTCTTACTCCACATAGCTCTCCGATGCAAACTCATCTTCCAGTTTAATCTATCTAACCGCGGGTATTGGGGCAAAGTCATCTTTAAACGCGAAGACGAAACTCTGGAATTGAGGGTGATTGACAAGAATCATCATTGTTGTACTTCTAAATTTGTCTCTGTAGGTCCAAACCGACGAACAGGCTGCAGCGCAAGGTTCTAAGGATCCAAGGTCGTTGAGCGGCGGAGAAAAATCATACTCCACTATATGCTTTTTATTGTCGCTATGGGAGGCTATCGGATGCCCTCTGAGGTGCCTGGGTATGTCTATGTTCTGGAAATCAAGGGAAGTCATAAACTGACAGTCCGTACTTATTAGATGAATTCGATGTATTTATGGATGTTGTCAATCGGCGAGTCTCTATGAATATGATGGTAATTGCTCATCCGTTCTCGCTCTCCTGGTGACTGACTGTATATAGATTGAAACTGCCAAACAATCCGATAAGAAGCAGTACATTCTTATTACACCTCAAGATGTGACCAACGTTATGATCGGCACCTCTGTTCGTCTGCATCGGATGCCTGATCCTGAGCGGAACCAGGGCATGTTGTCTTTCCGTTAGCATACGATTATAAATAAACCCAGAAGCTATCCATAATTGCACGTAGTCCACATATTTCCGACCCTCTGTCCCAAATGCCCTGTAGACGTAGTTGCCACTTCAATCGGCCGAAGCCAAGCTATGGTCGAGTTGGTGTTGGTGCGCCGCTCTTGCGCTTGGCAGGAAATCCTTCTAAAAACTGGCTAACGTGGGTAGTTGCCAAACACCCCCACCCCCAAAAAGATCGCAGGATTAAGAAATTTTGCATAAATTCAACTGGTCAATGTTACGTATCATAAGTGTGTAGATTGAAATTTGGCGTAGATTGGCTGAAAATATTCGAGGCAACGATAAATAGAGTGAATACTCGTACTACAAGAAATCCGAGTCGATCCAGCTCGTGGAGCCTAGCACGGTCGAAATGGTCACAGCGCTGCTCAAAACCTCAGAGAAGCTTGCACGAGAAGAAGTGGAAGCCCCGGCACCAGAGTTACCGTATTCAGCAAAAGTAACATGGTCGGTGCTATCCAGAGAGTGTCAGGACCACGAGTTTGTGAAGGAAATGTTTTTTTTACCGTTCATCGCTAAAGGATAACTGTGGATCAGCAAAACATTTGCGGACGAAAGTGTGTCTGGAACTAACCCAGTGCTCCAGACGGACCATCCTGCGGCGGGTACGTTGCTGTGGAGGTAGCTATTCTGGAAGACGACTCGGGCGTAGCTTTGCCATGGCCTTCCGAGGTAGGCATCCCCGGTTCCACTGATTTCACTGCTGTCAATAACATACCAGTTGCTGTCGCTGCTGCTTCTTCCGGAGGCGGTGATCCATCCGTCACCCAAAGTCTGTAAAGGAGTTGAACGGGAATGGATGGGAACCAGAGATTGAAGAGGGACATTACATGAATGACAGAGCTGGTAATCCAGAGCCTGGATACTGGTCCGTGAGAAGGATCACTATTCATGACTGAGTGCTCACGATGCGGTTTGTCCAAAGATCTGTGTGGTAAAGCAAATAGTGAGAATGAGGAAAATATGAAGACATAAAAAAGTACAAAGTCAGTATTTCCTTCAATGTAAGAGTTGGCGATAAATTCGCTATGAATTCGGTGTAAAGACAATCTGCATACTCCAGAAAAGAACTGGACATACTAGCCAACATTTGCCAACAAAGTGTCCCTTACGGCCAATTATCGGGATGTAGTCGTAGCAAAGGGTACAGAAAGCTCACTGATAACCGACAATTTTCAAACCGTAACCGCCAAACTGGGTTGCCTGAATACTCAGAGCAATGGCTTGGTCCTAGAGACGCATCAACGGTTGTCTCCGAATAAGACGACATTCGGAAGCACTTACGCCCTGGAAGAAGAAGAAAAAGTTCTGCTCACATCGCTAGAAGAAAGTATGGAAGCAGGAACAAACCTCACCACGTGAATTCACGATGTTCAGATTGTAGAGGGCAACATTGGAGCCGTGAACACGGACAGTGCCACTGGCATCATTGGATCCGGCATCATCAGCACCGAGAGAGTTAGTCAAAGTGACCGCTAAAATGAATGTTCGAAAAAGTCCATCGGCGAGAGAAGGGAGGACTACGTACTGTTGCCGGTGTAGCTGTCGGCAGTGCTGGTCTGTCCATAGATTTTGATGTTGCTTCGCGAGATGAGTGTTTGACCGGTGTACGTGCCAGAGTAAATGAAGTAAACCTGGAAGGTCATAAGTACCTCTGCAAGAAATTGAGATACGGGAGTACGTGCACTGCTAGACGTATCCGACAATGCTTCAGAGAAGGTAGAGTACGTCCCGGAGCTGCCGACAGTGATGGCGCCGGAGGGTGGCGAGCTATAAGCCCAGGCTGCTTGAGCACAGAGAATGGAGGTGAATACCTTAAGAAACATGGCTAGCTCTATCGGTCCACTACGTCGACGCGACGCTTATATATACAGAACTTGAGCATCGCGCGATAAGACGGCGGACGGGGAAGAAATATCTAGAGGTCAAGGAGAATTTTCGGTAGGCAGAGAACGCCATGAACCGTCAGGATAACCTGCGAAGTCGCGGACAAGTTGGAAAAAAAACTTGGCATCCGTTCTTTTCATATTTGTATTACTCGTAACGCATATTCGCGGGGAGTTGTCCGCAGTCGCCGATGAGCAAGTTGTAGAATGCCTATTCACATGCTTGTCAAGACAGAAATGCCAAGTATTTGGGAAAACACCTACCTCCCATCGCGGTATACTGTTCGTGTCATGGATTTTGAATTGGGTCACAATTTCCTCTTTGTATTTGGCGCTGGAGGAGCTTCGAGGATAGGAAATGGGAGATGTAGATCACGACGGTGCATGGTATTAGTGATCTTTGTTCCTAACCACTGTTACGCCCTTCCGTCAATTGTACAAGGCTTGGCTTCACATCGGCAAAATGCTCACGTTCTGGACCTTCTGGTATTTCATGCCCAAGAACCCGCAGTGACAGTCTCAAACGCGATCATGGACCGTTTCTTCGAGGGGACTGGCTCGACTCTAGTGCCCGAACTGAAACCGATGCGCCCAGTCACAACGTGACGTTTAGAGAAAATCGCAAATTCAGCTTGTCGTCTATTGAAAACGACGGACACACTTCTGTTCTACTGTCATTGAAACTATTCATGCTCTGTATTACCTGTGCTCCGGGCTTCGAGCTCTGCGACCTGCAACATTATCTTCGCAATGTCGTAGAACAAAGGCAGAAGAACATGTTCATACAAACCATCGGAACTTTTCTTGAGATTCTTGCTGTTGAGGATATAGCAGACGTGATAGGTGACGAGTGCTTGATTTTCATCAAGATATACTACCTCTGCTACCGCTTCAAGAAGGGGTTTGCAATCTCCTGCGAAACCCTTTTCGATCCCCACGTACTCGCAATAGTTGCGCGAGCCTCTTGTGGGGAAACTTTTTTTCCAGCAATAAAGCAGTTGTCATCCAATGAGATGTACCACCACGTGGGCTTCCCATCCACACGGATCATGAACTCCGTTTTGCTCCGGCCAGGTAACAAGTAGGCCTTATTGAAGGGGAAGGAGAGGCCCTTGGCTGGACCTGTTCGAATGGTCTGGAGGAATAGATTGCGTTGTCCATGGTCAGCCAAGATATCGAATGTGAGGACGTATGAAGAACGCATTTGCATGACCACAGCTGTAGTAACACAACCTGACAGGAAAACCAAGGCAGCGACGGAAAATCGCTCCCATGTTGACCGGAGGATACGATGTGTGCGGTCCTTCTCGTCGTCGTCGTCGTCATCATCAGTAGCATAAGCCGGCTTTTCTGTGGATAATTTTGTCCAGTTGTTCCACACAAGGTCCATCGTTGACGCGCTGTTTTCTCAAATACTGAGTAAAACGGATTGAGCAAGACGAAAGTGGGACGCACGTAAAGACAATATTTAACCCGAGCAATCCATAAGTCCAGTTCACCCACCAGGGCAGCCGCGTTTTCTGGTAGAGTAGAAACTCCTGGTCGGGGCGAGGTCGGATGGCCGACGCTTTTCCTATAAGATTCGCTGCTGTCGTACGATGGCGCAGACGGTTTAGGCCATCACCTAGCCGCCGCAGAAAGCTCATCTGGGTATTCGATGAGGCAAATATATAGAAAGGAAACAGCACATACCAAAAAGTCGTAAGAAAAGCTGATTTCGATGGTTTGTCCAGGTCACCCACGGTGGTGGGGAACGTCGTCTAGCTCGTCTCGATCCTCGTTTTCTTTCTCGAGACACGGGGCTGGCACTACTGATGATGATGGGAAGTATTGTACAGTACTGCGTACCGTGACTAGTAGCGAAAGAGGACGACTTCACGTGTTTGTTGATCAATCCTTGTTTAACTTGTTCAGTGGAAGAGGCGCGTCTGTTGTTTCACGAAGGATGAACAGCTGCTGCCTGACATCAGTTATACGAGCATTACATATGGTTGATATCCCCCGGCCCTTTTCGTAGGGGATACAATTAGAAACTCTTCTACGGCCAGCTGCCCTTCGAGCTCGTCGACATTATCATCTCCGAGTTTTGATACTTTGAACATCTATCTGAAGACCATATAGCCTTCATGACTGCATGCACCCTTGTCTGCACCCTCTGGAGGGATGCCTATGCCAGTATCACATCCTGGCATATCTACGTCCCCACCGTCGGATACCTATTCTACCTTAGCTCTATCACCCGTTCCAAAACATCCTCGGTCTACCGTCCTTTTCCCCGCGAATCTACGTGTACCATTACCTGTCATGTCAATCTCATCAAATCAAACAACGACTCAGCCTTATTTCCCTACATAGTGTTGTGCCACATGCCCAATTATGCCGGCTTTCGCAAATGTTTCCCCAACATCCAGTACACCCACCTCGAAATTAAGCTCTTTCCAGGAGCATGCAGCCCTTTGGAGGTGTTTGACCAACTCATACGAACTCGGGTCTCCATAAGACTTGATCAGGCGAAAACATGGCCCGGTGTGCTACCCGTAGATTGGTGCATCACCATTGATGATCCTCCGGATATCGACGAAGTCGATCCTCGTGTTCTCAGACAGACATGGAGAACCTTCCTTAGCGAGCTGCTAAGGAACATGATCGATAAACGCTCCCATTCGTCTGCAGCGGAAGGCTCGAAGTGCTCCGGCGGTGTCTGCCATCGCACCTGCTGCGAAGAGCAATGGAGAGATGTACGTGGTATCAACCATTGTTTCTGGAAGGCGGGCAGTGGAAGAACCTTTACCATCAAACACACCGCCTTAGTCTTGCTATGACGGAGAATAGCGACGCGGCTTTAGTCTGACACGTCCAATGTTCAGTTAAATGGTGCTCTATCATCAACCAAATTGCAATACAGTTTCCTAACCGTTTATCCAGTGTCTCTCTATGCTTTTTTAGCTCCCTGAAACGTCCACTAGATGATTCAACTGCGTGATGTCTGGCCACCCATATGTATTCTTGCGCCATGCAATCGCTCTTTTTTCACGCAGTTTCCCATCCGCGTCTCTGTCCAGGCCTTGCAACGGCGTTAAATGGGTACTCCTCAGCGATGAAGTGCTATCGCGCAGCTGCTGAACGATCAGAGCAAGGTTTTTCATCTCTTGTATCGAATCAGCTTTCTTGACAAAGCCGCTCGTATATTCGACACCGATAAATGCTTGATAACACTCTGGAAGATGGTTAGCTATCTCGGTCTCTGAACATCACAAAAAGTTAAAGGGATTACCGATGATACTCTTCCATGCACCTTTTATAAGGCTACTTGATTGACGAACTTTCTTTGTCGAACGTGATGGATACTTCAGCCCTGAGTCCTGCGCTCAAGCTCTCTAACGTCTTGTTTCTGATAAGAATGAGAAGTATCAATAACACAAAAGATCCGTACCGCCATGAGCTTATTCTTCAACAATGTTGCCGATTCTTTGTCTTTCCCAGCCTTCTTGGCGACCATCGACGTTATTCTCACTGCCAGCCCGCCGGCTAGAATTCTTGGAATTTCCCACCCTCTTGAAAGGCGAAACTGGACGTGGAGTCCAGTAGCTGCAAATTGGTTGCATGCTACTGGTCCTGTTGAGACTTTTTCATAGGATTTTGAATAAAACTCGCCTGAAGAAATAAAAGGAATGATTTTTTGACAGTTGGCACTGTCGTCACTTGAGCATTAGGCAAGAACAAAGTTCAGTGTGCCAGCGCTGCCACCCCTGGAGACATGCCAGAGGGTAACAAGTGCAGAAGACCTGCGAAGAAGCCTTGGGATGATTCTGAATCAGATATGCTGGGTCCGACATTGCAGTAAAGGTAAAGAGGAGAAGAAAGGCGATGTGGATTGTGGCAAGCAAGATACAGCGAACTCAACGGTAGGTTCGTCACCGGCTGACGTCACACGAATGTCCGACGTCACTAGTGCCATGTTGACTTCGACTGTACTTCCTATCCTGTGTAATAATACATAATGCTAACAAATTATCTCCAAAGGCAGGTATCTCCTTCCTACCAGTAATACTATCTCCAGTACTGGGAAAAAAATGTCAGCAAACTATATTAGGTGGATATGCACAAATATTATTGAGACGAGATGAAGATGTCGGTGGTACGCGTAGGACCATTACATACCCGCATCGGTCCTATGATATTCACGTGATTTATGTCGGCCGTTCCATAATAAAATTAATTATTTAAAATAATAAACTTACATCTTCCCAAAAATCTCGCCGACGGACCCTGTCTTACAGCCCCCCACAGGAATTGGACTTCGTTCTGGTTCTAGCTGTTTGCATGAAGATCCCGTCTCTGCATGCATCTAGCCATACTCCGGGCCCGCTCATACATCTCTATCGATATCGCTCCAATATCAACCCCTAGTGGCTCCGTAATCCTTGACAGCTTCCATGCATAGATTCCGCTTCTGCTGTGAAACCGGTCCAAGCTTATCGTCCAGTTGTTCTGTCCAAACTCCACCCGCCTGATGAAAAATTGTCTAGATCCACAAGCCAACAGTCATCTTGACATTAGCGTAGCCTTTGTGGTCATGGGAGACTTGCTTTGATACCAGTTAGATGATCATGACTTACAGAAAGGCCAAACTAGTAGATTCTCTTTTGTTTATAGATGACTGAAATGCAGAAACTCCAGCGTCGATTCACACAGCTTTATAAAGTCAGACTCGCCGAACTTCTCCCTGGTGCATCGACGCGGTGGCAAGACTCGTAGAAAGAAATCCAAGGCATCGAGGCAAGTTATCTATTTTGGTCAATCCTTGCCAGCATGCTGATAAGAAAGAATTCAGAACCCTTAACTCACAAGCTGTATAGCTGTCACTTTCTCATGTCAATAGTATTATCTGCTGTCACGGTCAACCGCGACTATGGATGAACAACCACCAAAGTGCTGTAAGTTTCAGATTATAAAGTAGCTTGGCCCCTTCAACATACCTGCGACTATGGTCCTGATCTGTCCAACCTCGACGGCATGTTAACCCTGCTGATCACCATCGTGATGATCCAAACGACGTGTGCCAGCCCCGTATCCAGACCTGTTATCAACGTATCGGGTGTGCCGGACTCGGGATATGACAGTATTGGGATTGTGTACGCATTTTTGTCGTTGATAGTGCGTCAATTAACCTGGTTTCTTTCAGGTCCCAGGAAACACAGCTCGTGGAAAATGATAACGGCAATGAGGCGTCCGAAACAGCTGGCGTGCCCTCGGCACAACAGGTTCTTTCAAGTTCACATGTGGGGCTTCCGACCGCGTATGTGTATGAGACTCAAGCAGTGCCAATCTTGGCCGTCGAGGGTGAGTGAATTTTCTTTCGAATATAAGATAGTAAGTTATATGAGAGTGTGCTAGGTACTACATATCCATCAAGGATGATGATCCGCTCTCCGTCTAGCACTGTCTATTATGGTGTAGAGTCGACACCTACGCCGAACTTATCCTATGTTTCATCAAGCTGTGCATCAATATGTAATCCCTCCGCCAGTAATACCGTCCTGACCGCCTTTCTGTCTTCCGTTCTCACAGTGCTACTCTTCGCAATTCTCAAGTGGCTCCGGGGGGTAAGCTAGTAGTTACTTTGTAGCGAGGATGTGCTTATCAAGGCCTCTATTAGTATCTAAGAAGAAAATTCAAACGAGCGAACAATGATTCGGGCAGATGCGGCGGAAAAATGGCTTCTCCGCATATGATATCGTCTCCTGCGAATTCCGATCTCAGTGGAGTCGCGGACCCTGGAAAGCATTTGAAGTTGTCTTTTTAGAATGACTCCAATGAGGTAGGTACAAAATGCTTTGAGGGTTGCTGGCGACGCGAAGAAATCATTTTGGATCTTTCTCCTTGGGTCATTCTTGGAGGAGTACGTTAGGGTTCAGTTATTTTAATCTTGAGAACACGACAGTTAGTCACTTGTTCACGAAAATAATGGAAGAAAATTAACTTAGGATTTATTTTTCGAATTCGCGGGATGTCCAAAAAAGTCAATTCGTCATTTCCGGCAAAGTACTTGGCGACGACCACGAGCAAGCACTCCTTGTCTCTTCCCTCCATCTTCTCCAATCAGACCATCGGGATCATGGCTGCAAACTGCCCGCCCCAGCTTCACCTTACGCTACCGGCGAACGCGACGTCCTTCAAACGGTCTTTCGAGCAATTTGGATTCGACTTGGAGAGTCCCACGACTGGCAATGATGTAGGGTCGAGCTCAGTGGATAATGGAGGGCGCAGGGATCGTAATAAGCGTGCAAGGAGTGCGAGCAGTGTATCTGCCCATAGTATTTCCTCTAGCAGTTCCAGATCCTCGACTGTCGTCTCTTCCGGCGAAGCCAGCCCATCTAGCAGCAGCGAAGCCGTACCTCCCATTGGCCAGGAATCAGTAATCATACCACCTTTACCACCACGGTTGCCCACGCCGGTCATTCAGGATATTGAGCTGCCCGATTATCCTTTGACAGAGGAGCCGTCAACCTCAGTGGCGGCAGAAGATTCACGAGTGCGTAGGAATGGGACCAGCCGTGGCGAGGACGAGGACCCTTTCAGTCTCACGTTGCAGCGATTCGGCGAGTTCGATACCCAAATTTCTGTTCTGCGCCACCCAAGGACGTCCTCATTGCCACGAACCCCAACACCTCCTCCGACTTTGCCGCCCCTTTCTCTAGCAGAAGCACAACAACCTGTATCTATTCCATTTTTGTTGCCATATGACCCTTCAGACATTCCAGAACCGCCACGACCTTTGTCTCCCATTTCTAATAGGGCCGCTTCCAGCTCGAGTCCAGTTGATGATGAAAGACGTGAGTAATTATTTGACATCGTAGGAATCGCGGAAACTCATCTTCCTCATCAGCCCCGAACCCCACTTCAGATCCGACCTCTCGTCTAAGTCTGCCTTCCACTGAATGGACTCGCTTCAGTGATGGTTTCGACTTGACTTCCTCTCGGCTGTCCTCTTTAGATCTTACCTTTGTATTTCGGGATATCGATGAAACCAGCGTGTCAGAAGATACATCAGGCTCTCGGAGAGATCGTTCCATGGAAGAGGACAGGCCCGCACTTGGACCACTCCTTGATCGCGCTGCGTTACGCAGAGCTATGAATACGCGTTCATCTCCATCTCAAAGCCGTCGCCAATCTGAATCTGCATATTCATATCTAGATCGCGCTTTGGAGAGATGGTTTGAGGACCAGCCCTTGCCTTGGAATGAAGATGCTTTCCTGTCAGCAGCCGCCAGGGACCGAAGGTCTTCGGAAGAACGACCCTACTTGGAGCTGCTACCTCTTACCGACCCTCTCGAGAATAATTCAAGGTACATAGAGCAGGGATTATTGGATCCTCGAGAGACTGAATCTGGTCGGTATTCGGGCTGTCCTCGTGGATTCAGCTTCTAATTTACCTTTAGATCAAGAGCGTGGCAGGCGCAGAAATACCCAAATGGGCCTTACTGGCTGGCCTGATATCGATGAGCGCATCTCAGAAACCGAGCAGATAGACAGAACAAGAAGGCCTTCTCATTCTCCCGTCAGACCTCGCTTAGTCACTACACACTCTGAAGGTCTGTTTTATTCCTTGACGGCGAGCCAGGTACTAATCGACTTCATCACAATCAGAATCTCTACGGTCATTAGCAGGTCTTAGGCCTTCCTCTCGTTCGCATTCTCCGTCTCCAGTCCTTCCAACACTCCGACGTCTTCGAACTAGAGCGTATGGCTCGTACTCCAGACCCGGATCATCGACCTCTCTGATATCTGAGAATGCCTCCGAGATACGGAGACGTAACGCTTATGCTGAATTAATGGAACGCCTTCAGAGCGATGTACCTCGGCCCGAGCGAGAGCCCGACTCTGATGAAGAATGGCAAGACTTAGCATTGCCGCCAGAGCAAGGCAGCTCCTCAAGCTCAAGGCGTGCAGATGCCTTGTCTGAACTTTTTGATCGGTCCGAGGCTCATTCCAGCAGTCAGGAGGACCTCGCTTTCCATTATCCTGCTCGCCTTTTGCCGAGTTCCCCTTCATCGGAACGTACAAGAGGCTTCACTGCTGATGCGCTAAGAGAGAGACGTCTCGCCTATCTTTTACGAAGAGGCTCCGATTCATCGCCTTATACTAATTCCTCGACATCCAGGCCCTCTTCTTCTCACAGCCCGGTCCGGCGGTCGTCTAGCTTGAATGATCATCCTTCGCGTCCATCAGTCGATGAGTATCAGCGTCACGGCAGACCGGTCCCTCGTCCTTCCGAAAGCCACTTGTCGGTGGATTTCTTCGACTCGCGGTCGTCGACAATATCTGACATGGCGCGGGCCGTAGCTCGAAATGGTCTACAGGAAAACTCTCCTTTCTACAATGAATCACTTCTTTCTCGGCAACCTTCTACGAACCCACCGTCAATTCCACCGCCAGACCTTGGCGCCATCTTCATCCCGCACACCGCAGACTCTACTGAACCAGAATCCTATGGCTTACCTCCTTTACCACCTGTTGACCCCACAGTTTCTGAACTTTTGAACTATGACAGAACAGTGTTTCCTGAACGCTGTCCACCTGCGCCGACTCCATCAAGACAGAGTACTGCTGCTCTCCGCCCGGACACTATAAGTATTGATCCCAATGCGTTTGCCCCTGGGCCATTTCGCAATACGATGATATGGCAGGCTGACAGGATCAGAGCGAGACAGCAGAGCGAGACTTCGCGTCCGCCGTCCATACCTCCGCTTCCATTTGAGGAAAATTTTCCTCCTTCAAGATTAAGAATGGAGGAGAGGTCACATACTACGGTAAGCTTGATGGGGCACAACTTTATGATATTCTAACTAACGAATATATCAGGATCGTTTGTCCCGTAATCCTCCTGAACATACTATAGGCGATCGGATACCTTCGCGCAGGTCCAACATTGTCTATGGAAGGACTGCCCCTGACAGTACCGCTCCTCGACCTGTTTATTCAAGGCGCACGATAGACGAAGACCCTCTTCGTCGTTCATCGTCAGATATACACAATTATCTTAGCCGTCGAGCGCGAATGGAGGCTTCTAGACTGGAACAGACGGCTGCCACGTCCACCACCTCGGGGGCCGACACGGATGGATTCTCTCACGCTTTGGAGGTGCTTCGTCATGATGGACTGTCCTCGGTGCGGTCGAGGCAGCTGATTGACCAGTATCATGAGCAGGAGAGGGAGAGGGAGCGTAATGATACCGACCAGCGGCAGCAGCAACAACAAAGACGCGATGAAAGGAGGACGGCTACGAGTTCTGGCTTCAGAGCTTGGGGTGACCTTGACGATGCGAGGTATGTTTAGTCATCGGTTTTTTTTTACAATGAATCAGAAGTAAAGAGGGTTATTGTTTGCAGCCGAAGTGCCTCGCGCCCACCGTCATTCTCGGTTCGGCGACGGCCTTCTCCTCCGCAACCGACTGGATCAAGACCATCAGCGGAGCCTTTGCCGTCTAGGGCGGCTGCAGCCCGTGGTTCGCGTAATAATTCTCGCTATATGAGAGCCCATCACCATGAAGGATTTGGACTCTTCCGGCCACTGGATTTGTATGATCTGGAGTTCATACACGCACCATGGAGGGTTAGGCGGGCGAGAGCTGGTGGATTTGGAATGGGTGATTTTGTGGTAAGACTGATCAAGGTCATGTCAGATTTTTGCTGAGTTGTTTGTTTCAGCGAGACGAGGACTTTGATGATTCGTATGAAGGCTTGCTTTCGCTCAGTTCGCTTCTTGGAGACGTACCCAAAGCTACACCTGCTGATGTCATTTCGGGCATGAAGACTGGCTTGTTTAAGGATTGGTCGACAAACGATAGTGATCACCGGTGTCCGATCTGTTTGGATGATGTGAGCTACTTTTTTCTGCCATTCCGTATTGTGTTCTCAATCAGTGTTTTTAGTATGCTCTGACCGATCCTGTCATGAAACTCAATGATTGCTCTCACTGGCTGCACAAGGAGTGCCTGGAGGTTCGTTTCTTGGTGTTCGTTCGTCACCCGAACTTTTCGTGCTGACGATGTCTATAGCAATGGCTGAAGAGTGCGAGAACTTGTCCGGTTTGTCGCAAAGCAGTGAAAGGTCCTTCTCCTCCACAGAACCGCCGTTGCCCTCGACACTCGTATCAACAAACTGAGGGCCCACGTCGACGAGATGGAGATGACAATGAAGGAAACGACGGTCCTGCCAATCCTGGCCCGCGAGCAGACGGAAATAATTCTTCGGGTGCGAGTCCAGGTTTTGGGGGGAGTGGAAGATGGTATATCTAGAACGTCCCATTTATGTGTTGTATGATCATTGTTCACTTGTGCGCTCACGATTCATGTCTAGTATATCTATTGCGATCTTTTGGAAAGTATGAAAACGGTTGTTTACGTATGGTTGGAACATATACGCTCTGGACATTGAACGTTCTTACACTGGACACAGTACTGGCGATGATAACATGTGATTATTTGCGATGATGTCTCTGATGAAAGAAAGAAAAGGGGGGAGGGTGCTCACCTACTTACACGATGGTGCAGTCTACAGAGTTCCTGCAGCGTCTTTCACCTCACCTCTTCCCACCAACCTCCCGCACTCGTCACCGTCGTCACCTTCCCTTTGAAATGCACTCCTAATGGTAAGCAAGAACCACGATCTCCAGCCGTCTCTATTAAGGCTAGCAGCCCGTCAGTCTGGTACGTTATCTTCGTGTACCCTCTTCTGATTTCGTATGTTGTCTTCATACTCAATGGTCACTATTAGGCGAGGGCCTTCGAAGGAGGCGCACTTTTCATTTGTGCGTACCATTAATTGTAGATATATTCTAGGCAAAACATCGGCTCGGAGTCTGTCCACGTCGCACCAAAGGACCGCGATGCTTTCGCTCTCAATTGTATGTACATTTACAAATTTATGTGGTACCTTTTGATTGATATATACGTAGCGGACACCATCCCCAGGCCACCGCCGATAGACTGGATCTCTTGGAAGCGAAAATCGAAGCGAAGATAGACGAGAAATTCAAAGCTCTAGGAACCCATCACACACATTATCATTGCTGCTTTGCAATGATACTGGCAATCCTCGGTTACTTCTACCTAGTTTGTTTCTCATCCTTTTTCTGTTGTGTGAATGGCCAGTTTTGGCCCCTCTATCGTTATTCCCTTCGCTGCATGTGATAAATAATCAATAGACCATCATGATTCACGAGTGTACAGTTACTGTTAGATTATCATTGACAGCCTAAAACAAGATCGAGCAGATCGAGCAGAGATTAGATAAACAGAGATAGTGAAAAAATATGCTATCCGTTTTTGAACTGGGGCAATTTAAATGACGAGGCCAAGGATGCCACAGACGTCGTTCAAAACAACGCCCAAGCTGAGGTTGAGGATGAGGGGGAGGACAACATTGTTGAGCAGGGTCACGAGAAGGACCAGAACGCTGTCAACAAGACCAACGACAACTGCGAGGATCTTGCAAAGTAGGATGCTAGAAGGGGAGGTCAGGATAGCTTTGACGTCCGGAGGAGTGTACATACACTATTTGTCCCAGGAGGTTGCAGACGACTTCTTTGTCGACAACGGCAACAAGTTTAATAACGAGAGCGACGACACCGGAAATGAGCTTGAAGTGCGACAAGGAAGGTCGGAAGGCAGTACTGAAATATTACGGGTACTTACGTTGATAAGAATTGTGAGGAGGCCGCAAAGGTCAACGACGGAGAGCACACCACTGCCAGTGGACAGAACGACATCAGTGGTCAAGCCGACGAGAGCCTGAACGTCAGTGAGGGCCGTGCCGAGGATGTTGATGGCGTCCTCAAGGATAGGCTTGAGAATTTCTGCCGTACAGTTCCCGGAGGTGACGTACTCTGAGATGGGAGTGGATAAGTATCTGATGGGTACGAATCAAAAGAGAGAGGCTACTGACGAACGGGCTCGAGGACGACGGCCAAGTCGGTGATCAAGTTGTTAACGAGCTGTGGTAGAGGAGTGCATCCACAGCGCACATCGAGGGTACGGACGGCCAAGCTAGTCTCAAGCATGGGGGCAGGAGCAGCCTGGACGCTGGCAAATGCAGCGAGCCCAAGGGCCGCGTAGGACAGGATGGTGTTGAAGGAAGGCATCGGGTTAAAAGATTGTGTTTTTGAAAGAATGGCAGTGGAATGTATAGTAAGTAAGGAGAGGAATGGGAATGTGAGAAAAAAAGGTCAGGACGCGTTGGGCTTTATAGCCTGTCTTCTTTAGGAGGATCACGGATCTGAAAAAAGTCTAATAGATCTTAAAGGCGATATGGAAGTTGTCGTTTGTCCTTGGCCATGAAGCCAATTTCATTAGCATGATCGATGACGCGTGATCTACATCTCTTGAGTCTGCGAAATGAAATGTTGATCTAATATCGGGAACGGCAGTACAAAAACCACGTGCATTATGAAAGAACTTTTGGACTGCCGTTTGAGTGGTTCAAGAGGAATAAAACGAGCTCCGGACTAAAATCCTTGAACAGGGTTCAGAAACACAAAATGGAGACTTACGAAATTTCAGGGAGGCGGTTCTTGAACGTCTTCAATATTCGAGCATGAAACGTTTTCAGGGATATTCGCAAATTGTCATGAAGAAGACTCCCGTGTCGGCACGGTGAGGCGACCTCCGCAGTGTTGGAGCCGCGTGTGTACCGCGTAAGTACTATCAAAAATGAAATGCTTAGCGCGAAAAAATGGACTGTTTTACGCGTCCCTGCATGACGACAACGCGAATAAGCCCCCATAATGCTCGGCACGGCTACGCACTTTATATTAACGCCGACGACCATGTAGTAATTTTGCCTAGAGGGAACAACTAGCAAAGTCCGCCGTCAGACCTACTGAATATTCTAGCCAACTTTGTATGTTTGTATACGCGTTGACAGTTGGTACGACCGGCGTAGACAAAGCGCAAAGAGGTGCGAGCCTCTGGCAGCTGATTAGCTCGCACTGGTCAAAATACAAGGCAGTATGATTAGAATATTTGTAGAATGCTTAAACTTTCGACCGGGGCTTTGTCCATGACAACCGTCGGGATTGCCTTGAAGCTTACAAATTTGCTATGTTGTGAAGATGTCTCAGCAAAACGTTACCCGTTATCCTCACATTTTCGTCAGCTTCTGATGATGATGATGAGGAAAGATGTTTATACTTGTGACAAACTTCTCGTTTTGGACTTTGCCTCGGGGACAAATAATTGTCGTCGTCATTATCGCGGGAATTGGATTTTCCTTTCGATCCGTTCCACCACCACACCACCACCACCATAATGCCGGGATTCCTGCCGTCTGCTGAAACCTTCGCAAAGGTGAGCAATATGAGCGTATTGCATCGAATTCGCTATCATGAAGTGGATTAGGGCGCGTTCGCTACTGCGGCGATGGTGACGACAACGGCAGCAGCGCTCTTATACTACGGGCAGAATTATCTTATTTGTAAGTAATGTTCACCCTCGCAGGCGTCAATGACCAAAGGCATCCCAGATCCGTCGGCGTACATCAGCCTCGGTCCAGAATTGGACGGTATGTCTTTGCTGTTTCTCCTTAAGACGTTACTTGACGTCGCCGTGCAGCTGTCGAGTCCCCAGGTACCTTCGGACTGCACTACGACGACGTCGAATTGAAGACATCCGACGGGGTCACCTTACGTTGTTACCTTCTCCCACAGAAAAAAGAGTTTTCACGGCCGACACGCTTTTCGACGATACCCATTACGCCGCTCAATTATTCGGACACGGAGACGGATGAGAAAGTGCGCCGATTCTTTCTGGCCCAAGCCTCACTTTGCTCAACCAGGAAGTAGCTTGTGGCCCGTCGGCCGACGGTGATTATGTTTCACGGAAATGGAGGCAACCTGGGTCATAGAATACCACTTGCGATGATGTTTCAACTCCTCATGCGATGTAATGTCCTTATGGTCTCATATCGTGGGTATGTACTCGTTCATTCCTATTTGTATAGACTCTCATTCTTCCTGTAGGTACGGAAAATCCGATGGCTCACCCTCAGAGAAAGGTACACATCTCCCTTCCCTTGGCTGACACGTCCTTACGACCCCGCGTCAGGCTTCCAACAAGATGCACAGGCCGCATTGGATTACGTCATGTCTGATTCGCGGTTTTCTAAGACGCGAATTGTAAAAATTCACCTTTTTTTTTATATCCAGACGCAAGGCTGATGTCTTATGTCCTGTAGTTCGTATACGGGCAATCCATCGGAGGAGCTGTAGCTATCGACCTCGTCAGCCGCAACCCAAGCAAGATCTTCGCACTCATTCTGGAAAACACGTTTACCTCTCTCCCTGCACTCATCCCGCATGTCCTACCCATCCTCGGCCCGTTCACATTTTTGTGTCACCAAAAGTGGAATTCGGCTTCGAAGATTCCGCTGATACCGGCAAGGACGCCTGTTTTGCTATTGAGTGGATCTTCGGATACGCTGGTCCCACCAGAACATATGCGAGAGCTTAGGGAGTTGATACGCAAGCGGGGTGTCGACGAGGTATCGAGATGGGAAGAGTTTGCTGGTGGTCAGCATAGTAAGTTGTGTACTTTTTTTTTTGCTTTAGCGTTCAACTGACAACGAGTGCAGACGATACGTCGGCGCAGCACGGGTATTGGCATGCCATTAATGATTTCGTGACGGGTCTTATTATGGCTTCCGAAAAGGAGAAAGCTGCATGGTAGAAGTGGTTGTTTGAAATACGAATCTAATATGTACTTTATATATTTTTGTTATGGAGTTGCTCTCGGGGGAATGATAAATGTATCGCCCTGCAAGTCCGAGGATAACCTGCGGTATTCCTTCGTATATAGTGGACAGATGGTGCTTCGACAACCGTCTGGGATACGCGGTATTCCATAAAAAGGCGATTGAAAGGAAATTCTTGCTTGCATTACTTCAATGACAGTGAACTTCTTACCTGGTTCCATGCCTTACGTGCCAGCAGAGTGATTTTAGATTGCAGGAGCTCACTGTGTCAAAGAGACAAGAGTCGGTATCTTGATCCTGCTCCTGTATTGTTTTTTAGGAACCAAAGGGAATGGAACGATAGGAAGCTTGCATGATTTGTGTGGACCAACATATATATTTGAAACCGGCTTGCCCTGGACTTTCGAACAGAAGGCGATATGAAAACGCCGCTGCCATGCCTCACTCATCTCAATCAACTCCGGTTAACATCGCGAAGCTCATTCGACCTGGGATGTCAAGAGGGGCAGAGTAAGTTGCAAGGTGAAGAGAAAAGTAGCGTGAGTTGATATAGGATTACAGAATTCATGGCCGTGACGGACGATGACAAAACAAAACTTCTTCATACACATCTCTATCGACGCTCTAAGCAGAAGCGTACAACTGTGTCCACTCCTGACTGACACGCTGTGCATCCTTCTCGTTCTCCTTATAATGCTTCGCAACGTCGGTCGCGAGGGGATCATCAGGATTTGGCGCACTGAGTAATGCCTGTATCGACAGCAAGACGGTGCGGATTTGAAGAGCAGGCGACCATTTATCTTTCATAGGCAATCGGTCAGTCAATCACACATGATGAAAGAAAGGATAACCAACGTACCTTTCAGGATATCTAAACAGATTCGTCCGAGTTTATCTATTACCTCTGTAAGTGAAATCACAAAAAGCACTTGCTCGTCGTCGCAACGTACCGATGTTGGGGTGGTAGATCTTGGTCAGGAAGCGAACCTTTGGAGGAGTCATGGGGTATTCTTCGGGAAGGAATAGCTCCAGCTTGAAAACACCGTCTGCATGGGACATATCCAGTCACTACCGACTCATTACTGAACAGGCGAACGCACTGGCAAACGGACTCCCATCAGGACCCTGAATGGTAACATCGAAATATCGTAAATTGTCTTCATGCGGCGCAGCTGTTATTCCCGGAGCTGGGTCTGCTACCAGTCGCTCGGTTTCCTGTGCATACGATGGTTCTGAGTGTGTGCACGCGAGCGAGCACTTAAAAAGACGATTACCTTGATAATCCGCTGTGATCCGAGAAGGATGGCGAGGAAATGAGAAATGAAGAGAAATGAAATGCTGGAGAACATACCTTGGGCAGGGCCATATACAAGGAGAATGAGAATGGAGCAATAAAATTACAGTGGCAGAGGAAGGCAGAGCGGGGGGCAAGAAGTGTCACATGTTATCATGAGATGACTCAGCAAAACCTTTCGGTATTTTTGAATAATTTTCGAAAATATGAAAAAAAAAATCTACAGTCTGCACTTTCTTCATGGAAGAATATCTAAAAGCATTTATCAAGATGTGCTTCGGTATATCGACCTAACAATATTGTACCAACTCCGTACTCTCAGTGGCGACTTGTATCACGGTGATATCTACCTTGCCAGTCCAGATAAGAATACGCCGAGGAACCACCACTTCAGCGGCTCCGAATGGTTAGATTATTAACAGCAACGTCTGGCCCCTTGCGTTGTGAACGTTAACGTATCGAAGCTACCAATAGCATCTACGCACTAACCTTAATTTCACTTCTTCCTCCTCTCATGCTCTTCACGTAGCGCATCCCGCAAGTTCTGCAGCTGCACTGTCACAGCTGTGTTTATTCCCTGCGCCGCTGTCGTACGAGCCTGGAATTCGCTCATAAAAGCATCGATTCGTTTCTGGGTGCTTTTAGTTGAGATGGATGTCACTGAGAAAGGCTGTATTCGTGTCGGTGGATTCAATGGCGCGTCCATGGTGGAAATCGAGTGAAGGTGAAAACATTCTATTTTATTTTAGCTGAACAATTGTCACGTGGTACATAGACCAAATGCGGGTGAGTAAATTAATGCTTGGGTAGAGAGAAAGTAAATACAACATTTACCCCGAATGAAGTAAAATGAAAGTAAATGAGAAACACTAGTCAAACTCCTGCATTGCATTATCTAGCTCCTCCGGATCCAGATCGAAGGAGCAGTCAAAAGAGGTATCGTCCGATGAGGGCTCCTTCCGAGGGGAAAGAGGCGGCCTCTCCACAGATTTTGGTACTTGGCTTCCCGTGAGGAGTGGCGGCTTAAAACCTTTTTGCTGTGTGGGCAATGGCCTATCTGCATGCGGAGCTGTTGGCGCTGAACTGATTCGACGCACGCCCATACCCAACATTCGAGGAGGAGGGCGGTAAAAAGGGTCTGTACTTGGGGGCTCCTGTTGAGTTGCGATGGGCGATTGAGATGGGGGTTGCCGAGATATGGATCGTGATGACGCTGCTGAGGAGTTCTTGGACGCAGAGGGACGGGTTCGGTTGGATGAAAGAGTAGGTAGAGGCGTCACGCTGCGGCTGGACGAATGGCTGCCTTGCCCGATGGAATCACCTATGGAAATCGAGGGCAGTGATTGACCCTCGTTTCTCTTGGATGTCGATGGCAAAGAGACTTCAGCCAACGCTTTCCTGATGGCTTCTGTCCGTTTAACAGAAGATGAACGTCTGAGACTCCCGACCGACGAATGTTTGCTTTGTCCAGTAGGAGCGCTAGTTGTCTTGGAAGACAAGCCAGTTTTTGCCTTCTCGCTGTCGCTTAATCGGGTTTGAGATAACTTATTCGTTCTTCGAGTTGGCGCAACGTGTTCTACATCGTTGCTCGGAGTGGGTTTGACGACGACGGACGGAGTAGACGGACGTTTGTCGGGTGCGTTTCGCGAGCGCGGCAGTGGTGGCTTTGGGGCCTTGCTGTCTAATGATGCTTTGCCGTGTCCCGAAGCAACCTCGCAGTGGCTGGGAATCAACACAGGGTGTGGAGGTGGTGCCAAAACCGCACGTTCGACGTCTATGCCGTCTGGACTAGCATCAAGCATAGAAACGTCCGAACATGTTGCTGTCGAAGCAGAATCCAACAAAGAGGGCACCGGCACGGTAAAAGTGCCGCTGCGACGCCTCTTGTCAGCGTTCATGCAAGAACCCTGTGCTCTTCCTTTGCCTTTGCCTTGTGGGGTGGGAGGTGGAAACATGGAACTACGTCCGGTCTTGCTTCCTGCCACGGCCCTGTCTTTCTGCCTCGTCTTCATCTTTGCCGCTGAAACCCGCTCCGAGTTCTCGTCACCAGATTTAGGGCCCTGTACCGTTACGATGAGACCGATTAAAGCCTTTGTATCCACTGAGGTTGTGGTACCAGACAAATTAGAAGATGTGGAAGTGACAGGCTGAAGTACAGTGGATGATGATCGTCGCGGAGGGCGACGTCTCATATCATATGGGGTAGATCTCCGATGCTCTTGAGGGGAACTAGGTCCATCCCACCTGGGGATGCGTTTACTAAGGGCTATGGAATGTCAGCGACTCGATTCTTTTCTATGAAAACAACCATACAAGGATCGGGCACGCTCTCTGATGACTCCACGATAAGGTCGCGAAGTGCAGCGTTGGTGGTCTGAGATGCCTTCCACAAAACATGTCCGCTATTGTTCGGCGACGACGAAGGTATTTCATCCTCCAAATTATCGACGTCCATGGTTAGCGATGCATCGGGAGTGATATCCATATCAGCCACGCAACGCAGGCTCTTTTCTTGGCGGGATTTGTCTAATATTCTCCTTTAAAGGCACCTAAACAAATGTTACTCAATTCTGTGCTGGAATATATTTTTCGGCTCACAATTCACTGTAAAGGTTCACCACAATGGCATCTAATCCTCAAGTATAGCTATACACCACCCAAAAAAAGTGTAAATGAAGAGATTTCAAGGGCAAAAGTAAACCCCTGGAACACTTTTTCCGTGCGACTTTTGAGGAACGATGAGCGCTTGCTTGAAAGGAAGGAGTGGAAATACGCACAGATAAAAGCTTTTCTCAATATCACAAGTAAAATCCACCAGTTAGGCGACCAAAGAACGCGTCGATAGAGCCACTGCGAGAGGGAACAAGAGAGACGACATGCAAGTTCGAGACAAAGCGGCCATCGGACCGGAGATCCCTTATGTCGGAACGTTCGGACCGGTTACTACCGCGTGTTTACTTCGTTAAAACTAGTATTTCCGCTTGCTCACGGGCTGGATTAGCGGGATCGTCATTTCCTTCATTGTCACAATGTCTTGGGAGCCGTTTTTATTTTTATTCTTTGCCAATAAGCGGCTGTTACAATTCTCTTTCTATTATCCATGCTTGAGTTTAATATTCTGGCATAGGAAATGCTGAATTTACCTATTAACATGGGTGCTTAATTTCTACCAATTTGTTGAGTATTTACTTCGCTTTCGTCAGACCAGCAGAAGTGCTCAACTACATCTAGATCTCAATTGGCAACCTTCACTTTAGAACCTCCTTCGAGGTTTATCCTTATGGTTTTCAGGGAAGAGATCATATTGATAATATCGGCCTTTCAGTAATCATATCTGACTCGAGAACCAGATGTAATGACGTATAGACGGTACCGCTCTGAATACCTACCTACTCGATGATTCTAGCAACCCAATAAAAAAGAACGAATGAGAAGAGAAGAGGAGCAGGCATGACGTCTAGATGCGGGAGACGAGTCTGCCGTTCTCTTCGTGCGGCGAATTTATAAGCCCAGTTCTAGAGGCCGTCATCGATGGAACAAATATGGCTTGGCTCGAGAGCTCCATGAAGGACGGAGGTGTCTACCGCCGCTGGAAGGAAACAGGACTTCTGAAGAGGAGTAGATGAACAGAAAACCGGGTTGGAATCGAGCCCGGGGTCTTCATGAGAAGCCAATTCTACATTGTGGTACAATCTGGATCAGGCTATAAGAGAAAGGGGAGACTCATATGCACAGACCTCCGCGCGCTGATCGATACAAGCGCTCGCCGGAGCTGAGTCATATCCTGAAGTTGTTAATTTGGAATGCTCAATGACTCTAGGTGGGAACATTGATGGTTCTTGAAATGCATCTGGAAAGTCATAGCTGCATGAACACCTATCGTCGAGAATGCGGCTGAGACATTGAAGTGACACATATCCTGCGCTTCTTGTGGCTACTGGATTCTGGTTCCGAGGATAGGCTGCACGAATGGATTAGTACGACGAAGAACCAGTGTTCAGACAGGGCGCCACTCACACTAACCACATCTGGCAGGGGGGAAGAAGATACTTGGGGCGTAGACGGGCAGAGATGGTGTGTATGCAGAATGACTGCGAGAACAGCCCCAGACCGTTGAAGGTATCTCGTGGTATATCCTTGGGGAAGACCGAAGTGAAGAACGTTTGCCACCTGGAAGCCGCGAGCATTCATCCAAAAATAACGGATCGTCACGATTGAAAAGGTCCAGTATAGCGCGCTATCAGCCCAGTAATGGATCAGCGTGCCAGGCGGAGCCATTGACAAGGCAGTACCAAATCCCAGCCAAAGAGACACCAAACTAGAGACAAGTGAGCACTATGAAACCAAAAGAGCCTTTGTATTATTTTTCCGTAACGAAATTAAGCCACGGCTATTACCCCCATCGCATTTGTTCGAGAAGGACATGGTCGCTGGCAAGACGGTGACAGTACCACGTAGGGTTAGGGTTCCGACCTTTTTGGGTAATCCAGAATTGGTTTGGAACCGATTCCAGAAGGCGCGTAACCTTCACTCGAACAGTCACTTTAACTCAGGCAACGCTATAATATCTGCCATGGATTCGCTCTTCTTCTCCGTTTACTGCCACAGATACTTCACCGACATAACCTGACAAGGGCAGCCACCATGAACAGCAAGCTCTTTGTTTTGAATGGTGTATCGCCGCCTATTGATGGTCGAAAAGGACCAGCACTGAAGATGACAGCAAGAAGATACAGGACACCAGGCGCCAGCAAGGAAAATGTTGATGGGCTCACATTAATCTTTGCTCATTGCATCGGATCTCGTGAGTTTTGTTCTTCATCGTCAATCCTGGTTGCTTTACCTATCTTTGAGCTGCAGACAAAGAACAATGGGAGCCGACTATCGAACGAATTTTTGATATTCAAGGAGCCAAATCTCCGAGGCATAGAATACGTGAAGCATGGGCGTTTGACTGGCAGAATCACGGCGACGCTGCAGTAGTGAACGAGAGCGCGTTGAGGGAACGGCCTGAAGGTGTTTGTATGTCCCATTGATATTTCCTTTGCTGGTGCAATACTGAAAGAGGGCATTAGCCATATGCGAATGGGCCCCTGCAATCGCCTCATTCGTTCGTTCGTCTCCGATGAGAGGGCACCGGATAGTCGGACTAGGTCATTCAGCCGGAGCCGGAGCCATGCAAGTCCAGCCGTCTATATTCCCCCGAGCTGAAGCTGATACCGTCATTCAAGGATGCTGACTACCCAAAGCTCGCCTCCATATGCTGGTTTGGTCCTCATTGAGCCCACTATGATCACAGAGGATGTTTTCCGAGCTCACTTTGCCGACCGTATGGCGACGATGGAGGGTGCGGTATGCGCGACAAGCATTCGACGGGACCGGTGGACAGGGAAAGACGATGCACATGGCTGGCTCGCCGGGAGGTTTCCATGGAGGGTCTGGGATAATAGAGTCCTGGATATATTTGTCGTGAGTAATCGATAATACTGACATTGTCAGAAGCTTAACGGCTCCCCAGAAACACGGACTGCGGGAACACCAGCAGGGAGGAGTCACGCTCAAGTGTGATAGAAAGCAAGAAGCCATGTCTTATCCAGACGTCGATGGGCACTTCGAGGCAACCACTAAGCTCGCGAAGGTCTGTCACGCGGTGCCGGTGCATGTGATCTGGGGGACATACAATGATTTAGTGTCAGTCCACCCTTCTATGCACAGGCTTTTAACCGTTGTTGATTGTATTCTAGCCCCGATTACTTCCAAGACTGCCTCATTGATGCGTCGCAAGGTCGGTATGTGGCCTCTGTGACACGGGTCAGAGGTGTGGGGCACATGATTGTGCAGGAGAAACCGAATTTGCTGGCAGAGACGATCTGTGATGTGTTGGATACCATTGGGGTGAAACCCGAGTGTCGTCGAGCTGACCCTTCACGGTCAAGGCTCTGAAGCAGATTCCTTTGGTGTGGGAATGTATAAATGGTCAATGTACGATATAAGAATCCGGATTCAGTCAATGATGTACCGGTAAGGACTTGAATGGAGAGTAGCCGACTGAGATGAGCGGTTCCCGGAAATAAGTCGTACGTGCCTGCTATTCGGTGTATCTGCTGACCGTGGGTGGTCTCGTCTGATGGCCAACGGAAGCTTATGTTCTTGCCAGATTCCTGCCTGTGTATATCCTCGAGGATATCTGTTATCATCATGGCCTTCCTTGGCAGGCTGTGTGGCAAAGAAGCCTTCATTTCGTTCAGCGATAGGAAACCGTGCATGTGTCCTCCTTGTAAAAGCCTCAAGGAATGCCGCAATCAATTCGGAGACTTGTTCTGACCGGCCATTGAGGGATTTGTGCTGAACGATGGATGCTGAAACTCAGATCCGTACTGGTCGCCTATTCGAAGGCGCTGAAAAGCCTAGAGTTCCAAGTAGCAAGAGTAGACGCCGTGAGAGCCAAATTTCGGTTGTCTGACTGATTTCGAAGACGACAGTACGCACGTGGAACAGACTCGCCGTTCCCAGGGAACGTGTGATATTTCATTGGAAGGCCTCACCTTTCATCCGCTGAGGAAGCCCGATTGCTTGATGTGAAGAACACTTGCAGCCCACTCTTGCTACGCTCAACACACGGGTTGGTCGACCAGCTGACTCTGCGTGAGAACCTGGACGGGGTCGCTCTGGAAGAGACGTTATCTTTGTTGTTTGCCTTTTACTGTGAGGAGCCTACCAGATAATTATCGAGGTTTGGGCGAGGCTAAAAGGATTTTTTTTGGTGACTTATAGATGAAAAATATTAATAATTTGATTTGAATAAGTAAATTAGCACTTTTGGGAAAGACTAATTCATAGCTCTATCCACATCAATGACAGCTAGGATTTTGTCACCTATCACCGCAGCTGTGTTAATAATGCCCCATCGCAATATCCGAGTAGTAGTAATACCAAAGTAACTGTATAAGAGCAACCCTCTTCTAGTAAAGGACAGATTGCTCGAGCTCAGTCTGGATACCAAGGCCCGCCCGCTTCCGCTTCTCTTTTGGCTTAGATCCGCCGGCCCACCGGTCCAGTCCCTTTATAAGCCACTTGGAGCTCCCTTCCCTCTTGACTAAGCCCCCACCTTCCAACTACGATCTATGACTCCAAGATACTTAGGGAACCAATGCCCAACAGTACGTCCGTCTCTACTACACCGCGCACGCTGATTTCTCACTGGTTTACTTGTCAGCAGCTGAGGGAAAGAGCGCCTCGGGGAAACTAGATCAGCGAAAGGACTCCGTGACGAAAGTGCCACCATCGAGTACGTGCAGTTTCTACTTTCCTTCGCGTGGTTGCTCATTTCACATAGCAAAGAAACCGCCCTCGACGAAGAGTTCTGATTCTGGTTCCGACTACGACGAAAACTGGTACTCGGTGACGTACACCTCCGACGGCATCTACGGCCTGGAGTCTCAGAGCCTGTTGACTCTGGAAGAGGAACAGGGGGGAGTGTTCTCGGACGTGTGGGCGTTCTTGACTTGCAGATTAATGTATGAATGAAATGTATTGGGATGTAACATCATAATTTGTGACCGACTTCCATCTCGATACCTGAAAAAAATGGTGCAGTCAGCAAAACGAAGACAGAGAGACAGGCCAATTTAGAATGGTATCAGATACCGTTGTAGAAATAAGATAGTTTCATGAAAGATCAAAAAGGCCCAGCTTGTGCATCATAGGATAGTGAATGAGGGAAAGGAAGTACTAACTTTTAGACAGGCGGTAGGTCGTGGACCGAGGAAGTTTTCTCCAGGATGACGCAACGGATCATTGCCGGGGTACCCGGATATTTTTAGAATCGCTATTTCCATTTGCCCCAAGCCTGCAATACTACTAAAGAGCAGATACACAGTAGAATTACACACCGTTGGAAGCGAGACTCGGTTGAAGGTGCGCAAGAGGAAAAAACCAACATATGAAAATCCATCCGTGCTGTAGATCATTCTCGTTTTCTATAATCATTAGGCGTTTTTTTTTTACTTGAATTTTCCTGAATAAAAGATCAGAGTTCATAGGGCTAGTTAAAAACGCGATTCGTTTCGATTTATTTTCAGACTGTTTTTTGAATGAACGCAAGTCAACACTAAATTGTTCCTGCTGGGGGGCGAGACCAGTCCTACCGCTCTGTGGATCTCCCGACAAACCGCGCGCATACAAGGCTCGCGAGGATGCAAGCACTAGATGGTTCATGAACATATCTCATCGGACGACGTGTAAAACACTTTAAAACATTGATGCCTAGAAGAGAGAGAGAAAACGTCATAAAGAGCTAGAACAACGACGAGAAAGTCGGGAAGAACATACAGTACACTTTGGATTCAGAGAGGACGGCATCACTAGTCCCATTCTATAGGTCTACTAGAACTCTATACAAAAAGGTGCATTGAATTCCCAATTCATGATCACACTGTGCCAAATCCTCCTTGTTTCAGAAATTCTTTCAGACGCTGAACAATCCCATCAAGACCCGTCAACCAGCGACGCATATCCTCATCCAGTTTATCATGCGGCGCGCCTTGGGCAATGCGATTGTAGAAGTCCTTACGGTGGGGTACCGCACGGAGGGCGATCTGCCTCGTTATCAATACCGAATGCGAACAATTAAATGTACGCGAAAAAAACTCACGTATACCACCGACCTGATGACGAAAGAGTGATGGTGCTTCAAAACAGTGTCATATGAGGTCTTGAAGCAGACATGCAGATCACGCGAGGGATCTGCCTGCATGTTCTGCAGCGCGAGACAGGTGAAGGCGAGGCCCCGCACGAGACGGGTGAGCGAAGGTGCACATGATCCTACGTCTATGTCAGGGGCCGGGCGTGGCGTTCTGGATATATACAAGCCAAACCTGGCAGCATGCATTCGACCGTCACTGGTGCTGGATCTATAGACTCGTATTGAGAACGGACATCCTAAAGCGAGTGTTGGATCATGAGAGAGAGCCGACCAGCTAGCTACTAGCCGCACCTTGATATTCGACCGAATATCAGCCTGTACGAATCCGAATACGCCTGTTCCGAGGAGGTCGAACATGCCTACTAAACCATCTGAGGCTTCGAGAAATGCACGTGTATCGATGCCTTCAGGATGAACGGGAACATCTGCAAACGACTTGGAAGACCCTTGAGTGGCGGCAGTTTAGACGACGAAGATGCCTATTCACCTGAGTAGAAAGGTCTGAGTAAAATTTTACGATAATCCAGATGCTCCACGTACCTTTACAGTCTCAAAGTAGGGCTGCATGATGGGAGGAGGAACGAAAGGGTGACATGAGTTGATCCTGCTGTTAGCGTGGATGCGTTGAAGAGGCGTGGGGGCGCAACTGAAAATGCCGTCGGACCCCGGGCCGATGTGGAGATTTTTGACTGCTTTGTTTTCCATTTCTTTATTTTTAGATGGCAATGAGAATGGCAAGGTCTAAAAATGAAGGCTGTCACCTATCGAATAAAACCTTATTGATGGGAAGTAGTACCGGAGAATCTAGTACAAGTAGATCAAAATAAGTTAAGTACATGGTATTGGTATATTGATGAGAAGTAGCAGTATAAGGTATCTGAAGAATGAAACGGTGAATTTAGACCCAGGCCGAAGGAAGATTTATCTGACCTACGTTGTTCAGACCAGATGGCCCAATCCTGACTGAACTATCGCCAGAGACTAACGAACTCGACGTCAACATTGTCCCTCGCATTCAGAGTATCAATTTTGCACACCAGAGTACCTGATCAAGCTTGGGAACTGTGAACCATCAATCTCAGTGTTATATACAAACGCGGCTGATAGGCCAGAGTCCCTGTTTGGTTTTCAGCTACTGTCTGTCGAAGGAGCTCGATCGATGAGCGATGCTTTATGCAATACTTCTTTGAACAAGCGTAATCTTATAAAAAGACATAAAATACTGATAGAAAATATCGGCACAGGGAATTAGGACAATGTAAGAGGGCAAGCGCGATGCCACTCACGATACAGATGGAAATGAAAAAATTCCGATGTGGCGCGGGAATTTCTCTGGACCAATTTGAATTTCATGACTTGACACGCACCTCAGAGCCAATCCGTAATTCGCAACGAAAATCATCGCAAGGCACCTGATGTACGTGAAAAGTAACGTAAGTTACAGAAAAGACCTCGGGCCTTGTAGGAAATCTGATGCAGTGACTCGTGGGTCTTACGCATACATTTTTAAGTTGCGTCGTAGCATCCTTCAACTTGAATTTTGTCTTCAACCTGAACTTTCAATCGTGTTACAAGTCTCTCCTTATCGAGTCGTTCTAAAATTATGCTCCGTCCGAAAGCGCGACTTAAGAATGGCGGGTAACATAGTAGGTTACAGGTCAGCGTTTCGGTATTCCGTATCTGGCTACAGTGGCGTTTAGAGTCGGTTCCGCTCAGAAATGCTGTACCTGCGCTATGTCTGGCACCTACCTATTGAACGGAACTTTATCTCCCTGGGCATATCTTGGAATATCGGACGCTATCCTTCTCTACGGTATCATGAGGAATGGAGAGGCTTGTCTCATACTACCTTCTGAATGAGATCGAATCCTGCTCTGGTCATTTGCTTCTGGCGCTTGATTGCGTTTATTATCAGAATGGACCTGAAAAGAGAACCCTGTCATCTTGATTGCCATTGTGATCCTCCCTGTGCCCGGAACCTACGATGCTATGGATAGTTGCAGCTCGTGAAATCATTTCATTATTATCAGTCATCGACTTGTTTCATCCCGTCATTAATATTGACCGCTGACACTGCTCGGGGATATTTCTCATCCACGGTAATCCAGATATCTACATGTAAGTCGTTCCGTCCCCTTTTGCGATATAGCGGTTTCAAACTACCTTGTAGAATGTTTTGAAAGGATGCCCTGTGGAGACCGTAGACACCGCCAGGCCTCATTTTCAGGTGGTAACCTCATAAGGTCCGAAGAATATCCCAACAGAAATCGGGATGGTTCTGCTTTCAGCGAGGCTCTCGGGAATAGGACTCAAAATGTGCAATGAATGGCTCGGTGGATCCTAAGGCATCAATCTTCGTTATTTTGGTCGCATGACGAAGCCGCTACACAGGCTTTCTCATGGCCTGCCCGTCGGTATATAAGATATACCCGCCCAGAAATCTTGCAATCTTCAATCCAACCGACGAGCACTAAACGACTCTGGTTCCAGTTGAACATGATGATTGTACGTTTTTCTCGCCGTTCTGGCAGCCTTCCCTAACCCTTTGCTGTTCTGCATCCTCCGTCAGCCAAAGAAGACTACCGTTCTTGGTTCGCCCGCCTTTGTATCCGTCGTCACACTTACTTTTTGCTCATCTTGTTATTTCGTTATTCAGTTGTCGGAGGTGGACCGGGCGGATCGTACGCCGCCGCCGTCTTGGCCAGAGAGAATATCGATGTAACCGTCCTTGAAGCTGATAAATTTCCCAGGTAGGCGGTGTCTTCAAGCTAGTCTTGACTAGATTTTTACGGGGGTGTTGAGGTACCATGTCGGCGAGAGTCAACTCGCCGCTTTGAGACATTTTCTACGCTTCATCGACCTCGAAGAAGAATTTGATGCCTTCGGTTTTCAGCGCAAAGTGAGGGTTGATTCAGTAATCCAGCGTAGCATTTGCTCACATGGATATCAGGTCGGTGGTGGCTTCAAAATGAACAAACATAAGAGAGAAGGATGTTAGGTCTCCCCGTTCTTTTTTTCGATTAGTTCATTAACGTTGAACCGTAGATTCCGACTTCATATCTCACGACCCGAAGAATTATTCCTGGCATGTTGTGAGCGCCTACTTTTTCCATATAAAAAAACCCTAATCCATTGTCACGTATTAGATACGGTCAGATTCCGATCAGCTGATGCTTCGCTATGCTAGCCGCGTTGGCGCCAAAGTTTTCGAGGAAACCAAAGTCACGGACGTTGAATTTGACGTAGCCGGGGAGGGCCAGGAGGCACGGCCCGTTGCTGCAGTGTGGTTAGGGAAGGACGGTTCCACAGGTCGAATTTACTTCGACTATATCATCGATGCTAGTGGACGAGCCGGAATTCTTTCAACCCGATATCTGAAGAATCGGGAGTTCAATGATAAATTGAAGAACGTCGCCTTTTGGGGTTACTGGACTGGGGCGGGTCGTTACATGGCTGGTACTCCCCGAGAGGACTCCATTTTTGTTGAAGCATTGACAGGTCAGTTTTAGCTGTGTGGTTTTGTCGTTACAACCGTTGATCCTTGCGTTGCAGACGAGACTGGTTGGGTATGGTTCATTCCTTTGCATGACGGCACGACCTCCGTGGGCGTTGTGATGGACCAAGAGAAATCCAACGTTAGTAGAGCAGCTGTCAAAGCGGCGGGAGGGAATGGTTCTTTGAATGCTCACTACCTCAGACAACTCAAGCTTGTCCCGGCTATTCAGGAACTGATGGGTGATGCCAAACTCGTCAAGAAGCCTGATGCTCCCCTTGTTAGTAGCGCCAGTGACTATAGCTACGCTGCCCGATATCATGCGGGTCCGAGGTACCGAATAATTGGAGATGCAGGAGGTGCGCTCAATTTTCTCATGTGACAAGTTTCGCATACTCAAGTTTGATCTGTACAGCTTTCATTGACCCGTTTTTCTCTTCCGGTGTTCATCTTGCAGTATCTGGGGGACTTTCGGCTGCAGCCACTATCTGTGCTACGATGAAGGGAGAATGTTCGGAACTCGACGCTGCTCGATGGCATACTACCAAAGTCAACAGCTCATATACACGGTTTGTTTTATCTTGCGCGCCTTTCATTCAAGCTGTCACAGTTTGACCATGTTTTCTAGATTTCTCCTGGTAGTCCTCAGCGCTTACCATCAAATCCAGTCTCAGGATTCTCCCATCCTGTCTGCCCAGGAAGATGATAATTTCGACTTTGCATTCGATTTCTTCCGTCCCAGTAAGCGACCCTGTCTGTCCGACAGGGCTAGAAATTGACCACATCTATCCAGTCATTCAAGGCAATACAGAGTCCGGTAGGAAATTCGCCGATGATGACCTAGGAAAGACAATAGAATTCCTAGGTAAACATGTCTTTGAACCGTCATACCCGGAGCAGAGAGCAGAGTTAGTGTCGCTCTACGGAGACCAGCTCGATGTTGTTCCCAAGTTGCGTGTACCTGGGGAGGATGATGCCCAGGCAGAGTCCAAGGCGATCCTCAAACATATGGCTGTTCAGAAGTTGATTAGGATGGAGGATGTCGCTCATATCGGGAATTATGTTTCTGATGTTTTTGAAGGATATAGGCTGAGGCTGAAGCGTGGTGAGTTGGGCTTGGATAAAGCCGCCTGAATATGTTGGATATTTACCATTTAGTCCGTTATTATGAACCTACGTCACTGCATAACTTGTAAGCGCCTAAATAATGAGAATCTTTCTTTGTTCCTTTCGGTTCCAGCGGCAAACGCCGAAATGGCTTTCTGCCTTGTCATGTCTTTCATCCTGCCTAGACGTTATCTTGATATTTCTTATGCTCAACCTATCCAAGGTGCAATTTTTCCTTTTGGAAAGTCGCCGCGGTTCGGGGTCGGAACAACAAGAGAATTATTGATCATCATTCCAGGGCCCGAGATGTTTTGGTGACAGAGGTACTAGCTTGCATTCATGCACTAGTCCTGCAAGCTCCGAGTGTATACTCTCCCTTGTCTTCGGAACCGTGGAAGAGCCGGACAGTGTCATCTCGGTCGAATATGCCAAGCTATCATGACATTTAAACTATGCGATCCGGATTCAAGTTTCTTGCTCTCATCACCCGTGCCGCCTATGGCTTCGATTTCTATTCTGCGCTCTCTGGAAAATCTGATATCCGCGTCCGTCGACATAATCGAGGAGCGAGTTCAAATCCCCGACCTAGATTCGGCTTACCATGAAAGCGTGGTTCCGGATAATGGACTCAGTGACCCAGCGGTCGCGGACGCGATTTCTTGTATTGTTGCCGCGACCGCTCAGCTGGTGGCGACTATACGTCCTGCTCATTTGACTCTCATTTCGACCGCTATGATGGTGAGCCCATTCCGGACCGTTATATACTATACTCAGTGCTTTCTAAGATTCACGTTCCCTCGGCGCTTCGAACGGCCACAGACCTTCATGTTGCGGAGGTATTGCGAGATGCTGGCCCTCAGGTTATCTTTCTTTTTGTTTCGGTACCTATCCATCTCAAGCGTTACCTTGATATGCAGGGACTACATGTCAGAAAAATTGCCGCCCTATGCCGCACAAGCTCTGGGAAGCTAGGTAAGGTCCAATGATGTCAAATTGGCTGATGCATACTCAGTAATCATGGTAAAGCACGCATCCTCCGCCTGCTAGCTTCAGAGCATATTTTTCGAGAGGTGTCCCCCGACGTTTTTGCCAACAACCGTATCTCGTCTTTACTCGACACCAAAAAATCAGTTGACAGGTTGTTAGAAAGGCGAGAAGTCTGCATGCTTATTCTCCAGATTATATTCACGTCTTCTTTATCTAGTGCTCAGTCTAAATGGGACGGTGGTGTCGGCATAGCCGCCTTCGTCTCATACACGTAGGAATTCTTCCTGAACCTAGTGGTCTTCATTTCCTGATTCTCTGCACGTTCAGTGGTGGACATACTCTCAAGTTCACTTCATATCTGGCGGAGACAATGCGAGATCCATCGTTTGCGTACTCTGAAGATCATATCAAGGCTCCATTCAATTATACGTTAAAGACTGACTTGCCTTTTTGGCAATGGTTGGATCTCCCTGAAAACGAGGTCGAGAGGCGAAAATTTGGACTTGCGATGACTTGTGCTCCGAAGACCAGTATGCTTGACGGTAGGAGCGTTATCATTAACGTCCGCCGTTGCTATCCTCATTTTTGCTTGTCTTCGTAGGCTTTGAATGGGGTCTGCTTCCGAAAAATAGCGTGGTGGTAGATGTTGGCGGAGGGGTGGGAATGGCAACTTTGCCTGTGGCGAGAGCGTTTCCAGATCTAAGGATAATCATACAGGATCGACCAAAGTTTGTCGAAGATGCCAGAAAGGTAAGCACCGGACAATCGGTAGTTGATAGAGACAACTGCACCTTTTGTGTAGCTATGGAAAGAAGAATTACCCATCGCTGTGTCCAGTGGCCATGTCGCTTTTCAAGGTGGGCCAATCATCTGTTCATATTCTTGTTTTGACGTACCTCATGTTCTCTAGTGCATGACTTTTTCGAGCCTCAGCCAATTCAAGCAGCGGACGTTTATTTAATGCGCTGGATCATGCATGATTGGAACGACCCATTGTGCATCAGTATCTTAAAGCGGTTGCGTGATGCTGCAGGTCCTGGCACGAAGCTTCTCATCGTCGATGCACTCATGTCTCACGCCTGCCGAGACCCATTCGCGTATGACATCGCCGGTGCAGCAAAGCCTCTGCCGCCAAAGCCACTTCTAGCAAACTTTGGGCATGCTAGGGTAGGGGAGTATCTGTTTGATCTCCAGGTGCGACTTCTAGCGTTATATACCATGCATATGTAGAAAATGACTTGGCGGCAGATGCTGGTGACGGTGAATGGCCAGGAGCGGACGATTCGCCAGTTCTCCGATATTCTGCAGGTTGCCGGGTGGGAAATTGAAGAAGTGAAAAGCGCGGCTGCTACTCAAGCACATCTCATTGCTACTCCTGCTGTTGTCTGATGATCAATTATTTGCTTTTGAGCATACTGCACTGTAGTACCGTAATCATAAAGTCTCTTCGAATAATTTCTTCTCTTTTCTGCTTCGGATCATTTCCGAAGGGCAATTTGATTTTACTTCTGTTCCAAGGCAACAGTCGTTAATAATAATTCCTTTCGCCTCAGTCGCTGTCGGATTTTCTTTTCCATGCGTTCGTTACAGCTCAGGTACATAAGGAACCTTCTGGGTCCTGAAATGCCCTCCGCTCGATTGGACGACTCGGCATCAAAACATTTTCTCCCCTTTATCAAACCTTACAGAGGACACCACGACCCGACCCCACGGAGCCTGTTTTCATAAAAAAAATTTTAAAAGGAATAGGTCAGCTAGACTATGTAGTCAGTGTCACGGACTAAGCCGATTCCTCATTGATTCCTCATCGTTCCTCATCATACATGCGTCCTTTGCCATCAAATTCTCTCGCCCGTCAGGAGCGGACGACGACGTCGGCCCTCTAGACTATGGTTCGAGAGCTAGCTGGATTTCAATATCTGTGCGGGGGCGGGGCAGCTGTGGGGGAATAGTACTGAGACCAGCGGAAAAAGTGTATTCCGGCTCCTCTTATTTACAGCTCTGATTCTGATCGTGAGATGATAACCCTCACCCTCGCCTCTGCAATGTTGCTTCCATCTCACGCCCTGCTTAGTCTTCTTCTGCCTCTCCTCGCTACGGCCCATTCCTCTCCAAAGACCGTGGAGGAAAGGGAGGTTCAACGCGCACTGCAGCAGGCAGCGTACCACTGTGCCCCTGCTGTAGCCGAATTTACTGCACACCGGAAGAGGGCATGGGCACAGAAGGTCCTCGCTGGCAACCCCTCGCTTCCTGCGTACCAAGACCTGTTCGCCGACGGTACATATGATGCGGAGCCTGGGCAGGAGCTCATGTCTTGCACACCAGTCACCGAGGAAGCCAAGATGGACAACAATACTTGTGTTTTAAGTGAGTCGCGTCTTTGTTTCCCCCTTTCCTCCATTATCTCACCGGCTTTACGTAGCCCCAACGGTCACGGAAGGACCTTACTACCACAAGGTCGGCCATCCGATACGCCAGAACATTGCCGAGTATCAGATTGGTGTACCTCTTCTGCTCGATATCGGTGTCATCGACGTCGAGACATGCAAGCCTCTTCCCAATATCCTCGTTGATATCTGGCACGCTAACGCTACGGGTCACTATGCCGGGCACCCGGAGCCTACGTTTGAGCTACGCGATGAAAAGCCGCAAGTCGGTGGGAAGCGGAGCGGATTGCTGAGCGCGTTCCCTCGGACGATGCCTGCCGAGACGTTCTTGCGTGGCGCTTGGCCGACGAATGAAAATGGTGTCGCCCAATTTTCTAGTGAGCTGTCTTCATTCTTCTCTGGAGATTCCAGTACTGACCATGGTCTGTTCAAAGCTATATTCCCTGGATACTATACAGGTATGTCACAAGTATTCTTAGGAAGGTCGCTATGCTAATACTGAAAACGCACAGGCCGCGCAACACATATCCATACCAAGGTCTTCCCCAGCTGGACTCCCCTTCCAAATGGCACATTCGAGGCTGGCAAACTTGTCCACGTCGGACAATTCTTTTTCGACGACGAGATCAACTCACAAGTTGACAAGGTACGCCTTTAGGTCCACATTCCTCAACCCCGATCTAACATCCCTATAGATGCATCCCTATACGACGAATCCCATCAAAGACACCGTTGGCCGGACACGCAACTGGCGCGACTCCCTCAACATCTTTGAGGATTCCCATGGTCCGGAGGGCGAATATAACCCGGTTTTCAGGTCAGTTTTGTTAGTGAGTATAAATGTCAGCCATGCTAACAAAATTGGCGAACAGATTGGAAATGCTTGGCGGAGTTATTAACCAGGGCTTTGCTGGATTCATTACGATGGGTGTCAATACCAGTGTTGAGATTGACAACTGGTGGAAAGGCTAATGTTCGTCTGCATAAACATTTGAATACAATACAAAACATGATCACGTACAGAGGAACTTCGATCTAAGTACATAAACTGTTCAACGTTCAGGCTGCTAACGACCTTTCACTCTCTTTTTTTCGAGTCGCCTATTACCGTGCAAAGGTACCCGCACGATGGCAAAGAGGTTTTATTCGAAATGCCTATACGCGATTACACTGGTATGTCGCGCGCCGGATACGGTACTGGTATTTTCTGAACCAGCTGAATACCAGGTCAACAGCATAAACTTTTACACCTATATCGTACTTCTCGGTTTGTTTGTGCAGTCGAGTCTATATTGGCGCTTCGCAGTTCCTGTAATATTCTGCAGCGCTTGGTGGGCCGGGCACAGGAGGAGAGAAGAGGACATAAAGGCTGAAAGACTGAAAGTACGCTTCACTAGCACGCCCAGTACTAATTAATGGTTTCTCATGGTCTAACAGTCTATTGAATCGAAATTCGCCGAAATCAATGCATATCTGGAGGATCGCCGCGCTTTGTTAGAACCATCCACCGAAGAAACGGCCGTCCTGCAGTATTGCTTGTCGATCGTCGCTCAGTGCGTACATTGTCTAGTTGCATAAGCCCCGGAGCGTCGTCTGAGAAGTATATATCAAGGCAATGTCTCGCAGCGAAGCAGACAGCAGAAGCCATATACTGTGACGCACAGGCATCAGCGTCTTCAGACAAGCTCCGCAACATCGAAATCTGGTTAAATATTGAGAATGCACGGATCTTCCTCACGATACTGCGCTACTTGGTTTTCAAGGACCATTTGGAGGGAATTGCGCCGGAGGAGCAAATGAAAGCTGCCCAGGACTGGGCGGCTGAGATCATTGGACTGTTTCCTGAATTTTCGGTAGATGCGGGTTGGCTGTGAACAGCTTCGAGAAGAAGATGCGGCTCGGCACATCCGTGGGAATATTAAGCCTGCTCCCGTCGCAACTGGTTTACTTAATTTAGTTATCAAGTCAATCGAAATGTGCAAGCACAAATCCAATCCTTGTTGTGTTGCAAGAGGTGAGCACTATCATTCAATTATTACAATACACCTCTGCTGCTCGCTCGAGGAGTGGGATGTAACCGGCTATAATGAGGGCCTCAGAGACTGCCCTCAAATCAATTGCAACATGTGAATGGCTATTATGTGCTTTTGGTTGGTGAGAGGTGGGGGTGGTGGTGGTTCAAGAAGGTTGAACAGGTTGCAGATTAGGGAAGGGGATGATGAATGCATAAATATGCCAATTGCAGTTGTGCTTGTAGGGCAGGGTGTTTCTGAATGTAAGTGGTCCATGTTTTAGAAGACCACCAACCAAGAGCTTGTATGATGGACTCTGAAAGTCTGAGTGATGCATAAAACATAGCTCCTCCAGCTCTAACAGAGTGACCACCAAAGTCTCTGTCTAGAATTGCAAAAAACTTCTTGTTGAACCAATTTCATGATGGAATATCATCATTTTCACTGAGGAAGAGTGGAGCATGTGGGCCATAAAGAAGATCTTGATGTTTTATATATTGTGATAGGAGCATGACTGGGTTGGTGAGCTCCTGTCATGTGAGTAGGATGTCAGTGTCATAGTAGAAGGGGTCAGACTTGTTGTAAGGAAGATGATATTGTACATCATTCTTTTGGAGGATGAAGGAAGAATGTTTGATTATTTTGCAAAAGTCCTGAAGTTGTTTGTCATTTTGCCAAATGAGCTCACCTGACTGGTGGCAGCCATAAAAGCAGCAAGCAAGGATGGTGGTGAATAGGAGGTCATCATAAGAATCTGAGATGTTAGCAAGAAGACAAAAGGTGATCAAATGGAATAATTGAAGGGGTAGTTTTTGGGATGTGGGACCACCTCTTGTCTTTCTTGAGCCATGAATAGTAGCTTGCACCATGGGATGTTTGTGACTGATATCAAAGTCAGGATAAAGGTCTTTTAGAAAGTGATGGACTCCAGTCAAGTATTTTGGGCCAGATGAGATGAACTGGGATATATAGGTGATGTACCTGCTGAGAGTAAGTGGTGTCAGTTCAAGTGGCAGTGCATGAGTAATGCAAAACCATATGTAGTCACATGCTCCTATTGCATAACTCTTTGCTGCTCTGAGCTCAATCACATGAGCTTGGAGAAACAGAACATGTTTATTGAGAAGAGAAAGAGAGGAAGCTGGGTGAGCAATGCAAGGGGCATGCTTGCCCAGTGCAGTTAGAAAGATTGTCTCCATCACACTAGCAGTAGGTCTCTTGGTGGAGTGAAAGTGCAGACATAGTCAGCAGAAAATTTATGATGATATTCATCCAAAAAGAGTCAGAAAAGCATATCAGCCCAAATATTATCTTTTCTGTTAATATGTCGAATACAAATGTCAATTCCTAAATGGAGTATCAGGCCTGCAGCTCTGAGTAAGAGTCTATTGTGAAGAGGTTCTAATACTGATAGAGAGTCAAATGCAGTGACAGAATCAAGGCTATCTGTGAAAAGTAAAAGATGATGAGGGGGTTTGGGTAGAGATACTGCATAATGAATGGCTGAAAGAATGATGTTGATCATATCTTTAGATGATGGTAGATGGAGCTGATATACAAAACCATTTCCTGAAAAAATGAATGATAATGCATTTTTTAAGCTGGTGTCCATCCAAAATATCATATCAGCTTCTGAGTTGGCCCAGAGAGCTGAGTCAACAAAATGAACACCTACAGAATCTGGCAGAATAGATGAAAACCAAGAGAGATCCTCTCTAACTGCAGCATTGATGAAGATCTTTGTGAAAGAGTGAGTCTTTTCAGCCATCTTTTTATATAAAGAAGAAAGGACAGGATAGCCCCATGATAAAACATTCAGAATCCAGTTCAGGTATCCACCTAAATGCTGCTATTTTTGTAGAATAGATGCTCTTTCAGATGTTGAAAGAAATGAGTCAATCTCAGATCTGGCATTGGTAACTGACTGCTGTGTAAGAGAGATACTTCTCTGGTTGGCATTGATCCAGAAGCCAATGATTTTGAGAGTCTGACCATGCAACTGTTTTGGATCATCAAAGAGACAGGAGATATATTTCCAAAATATCAAAAGTTGTAATTGCCATGCTGATTGCTGCTGACCTCAATAGAAAACTTGGTGATTAGTGAAATTTCAGCCAAAAAAGTCATCCATATAAACATGGAGGTCAGTGATGTCAAGATAATGAATCCCAACTCAGCACAATAAGACTGAGACTGAGCACTAAATCCTGGGTGAAGCTCAGCTCTCAAAGACAAGCCATCTAATGATGTGATATTAGTTGTCAACAAGGACCACTTGATGAATTTGCTATAGAGAATGTGCTGGTAAATTCAAAAAGGCCTTGGTGATATCACTTTTATACAGAATGAAATCAGCATTGGGATGTCATAATTTGGTATTGTAAAGAGTCTTGCCAAATAGATGCATATCATTGTATTTGATCTTTGCCTTGCTAGCAGGGATTCCTGCATTTAAACCAGAGGAAGTATAATCCATTATGACATGGGGTTTTCTATTCTGCCAGACTATGAACATAGATGATACTTTCATACCTGGCAGGAGTGTAAACCCATCTGGTAGAGGTGGTGACCAACATCTGGCTGCAATCTCATAATCACAAAATGCTTATATTTTGTTGATATTTTGAGGATTAGTGGCATAATTCTCAGTCTTGTCATAGAAAGAGTCTTTTCATTCACCAAGGTTGAGAGGCCAGAATCCATTCCAAAGACCATGAATGACTGAGGAGACAAAGTATTCATTTGGATAAAAATAAAGGATATTCTCCAAGCAATTGACATTAAATGGTGTGTTGACTACAATAAAATCCTTTAAGGCATATAGTGTAGCCTGCAAGAATAAATCATTAAGTAGATGTGAAGGAGAAGAAGGTAGAGGATCAGCTGACTCAGTAGATTGAGCAGCAGGAGATATAGATATGGATGATGTGAAAGTATTTGATCAGACATAGCCATGCTTAAAATGTGGACCAATATTCTGATCTTTGCATTTGCACTTTTGAGGCCTTAAGGACCTAGGCCCTGCTGCTGCTACTATTACCTTCACTGTTACCTCTTTCAAATCTAAGTCTCCTTTTTGATTGGAGGAGGTTGGCATATTTGATGATGTTTCTAGCTTAGTGTTCTGATTCATATTTGCTACAGGTATCATGCCTATGGCAATTAGCATATGGATCTTGGCAGAAACCCAGGTTCCAGTTTTCATATAGAACTGTTGACCTTTTTGCAGCAGAGAGTGAAGCAGACAAAAATCATTTTGTGTCTGAAAAAGTTGAAGAAGAGCAAAAGACCTGGGTAAAAATGGGAATTTGTAGTTCACTTTGAACATCTATATAAAAAGGGGACTTAGCATATCACAGTCAAACTTCTTCATCAATATGAATGGCAACTGTGGAGCCATAATGTGCAGTCTAAAAAACTTTGATCATACATTTTTAGTAAACTTTGAGTTCAGCCTCATAGTGCAGATAGAGAACCTGAACACCTCTAGCCCAGGTATCATACATTCTGCATCAGTCATATTCTGACCTGAGAGGCTTCTTGGCAGATGAAATGTCCTTCCTGATAATAGCATATTCTGCCATAAGCTCTTTTGCCTTCTTGTTGTGATCATATCCTCAGTCTATTGAAGCAAAAAGTTTTGAAAAGTCAATATACTGGTTCTGAATAATGAGTCACCAGAATGGCTGAGCAATAGGTTCAGACAGAAACTGGGCTTAAAGAACTGCAATGAGATTGTCAAGTGACTTTTCAGTTGTATAAACTTGTCTGAGTCAGAACAACTCAGCAAGATGAGAATCTGAGATGCCAGTGATGACAATAGATGCAAGGTGAGGTGCTTGAGCAAGAACCATTGGGGAAATAGAAGCTGTCCTTGGTGAGACAGTGTCACTGAGCCCCAGAATACTAGTAAGAACTGTAGCAATAGAGCTCTGAGAATCATTCATACTAGACATCTGATAAATGAATTGGAGCTTTGAACAGAGCATTGCCTAAGTAGTTTCTTTAACTATCTGAGATCTGGTTTCTTGATGCTGTTCAGCAGTAGTCTTGAATTTCTCAACTTGCTTTTGTCAAAACTCCTTGACCTCAGCCTGAGACAAGTCTGATAGAGTGGTCTCTCTGTGGTCTGACACACTAATATTCTTGTTGTCACTATCTTGTATGTTAGAGGAGGCAATAGTCAAGCTTTGTGGGCCAGCTTGCTTAATCCACTCCTGCAGAAGTCTGATATAATCTCTGATGGCCTCAGATGAAATGCCAAGCTGGTGAAGTCTGTCTGCAAAGTTGAGAATATTGACAGTGTCTCTAACATATTTCTTGACAAGGTCTTCACAATGTTCTGCCAAGACAGTGACATGTTCAATATCAGTCAATAGATTGGAGGTCATAAATAAGATCAATAGATTTGAGAGATGAATGTCAAGGACAAAAAACTTGATGACTTGTACAATAATGGTTCAGTAATACTGAATGAAAATTAGTTAAGTCTGACAAAGCCAAGACTACTTGAGTGAGCCAATTGTGAGATAAATAAAGAGGCAGAGCCTCACCAGACAACAGGAGTTACTGACAGGTGAAAGAGAAGACAAAGCCTCAAAGCCTGAGATTAATAGTCAGAAAAGATTGACAGTGAGAAAGCAGAGCTTATCTCACTTAGAGATGCAGGATGAAAGTGGGAATGAAGAAGAGACATCTGGCACTAATGTCTCTCATAAATCAGCATCAGCTGAGACTCAGCACTGAGACAGAGATGGCATCAGCAATCCCTCTTTATAGATGAGCAGAGCTTTGTATCTTTGTGTTGACAGAGATTGTGACAACCTTAAGAGTCATGCAGAGGTCTGCAAAAATACTCTCCACCCTTGGAATCTATCTTTATGATGGATACTAAACACTGCCATAGCTATAGGCTAAACTCAATCATGTCACTATTATTATAAAATAAATAATGTTGCTGTCATTGTTTTCATCATTGTCAGTTTATGTAAGCATCAAAGGTGAAAGACAAACAGAGTCAAGCAATTAATGTTTGCTTTGCTACTACTAGTATCTATATAATGGACAACAAGTTCTCTATTGACTTGACCAAGTTCAAAAAGTAGCTTCTATTCATCTTGGTCTCCAAAGGCACTAAATCAGATTTACAGGCTTATGCTGGATCCAGTGAGATTTAAGCTTGACAATGATGAGAGGATTATATTGAAGGCCAACATTCAATTACTTTGAGATGCTATTGTTCTTTTCACCACTACTAGTGCAGCTCAAGGACTCAGTGGACATACAGATAAGGATATAAAGCCATGAGTCTAGTTGTACTGATATAATCATTAGATGGCACCTATAATATTGTTTCAGAAGTTTGTATTGCTCTTGCTCTCTTCAACCATTCTCAGTCCAACTATATATCTATTTTATTTGATAAAGCAGGTGTGTTTTCACTAGTAGCATTGAAGAGGATCTGAGCATGTGCAAGGTGAAAATGAGTACAGCAGAGCACTATCCACTGACCACACTCACACTAACACACTGTTAAGCCCAAATTCCACATGACTAGAGACACATGATAAACTAATAGAACCTCGCACTTTGGGTTAGACTGTTAGAGTTCACTTGTGTGTGACTAGTGTTGTGTTGTCAAGGCATTGCAGTTGGCTCGAGATAAGATGGTGAAGTAAAACTTTAGTTCGAGACTGGAGTATTACAGCAAGAACTATGCTACTTAAATACTGTTCTGTTATCGTGCTATAAATAAGTGTTCACAAAAGATATTATTCTGCTGTAGAGCTGTTACCTCTGCTATTACCAGGTTCTCCACAAAAGCTATTGTCCTGCTGTTGTGCTGTTACTGCTGTGCTGCAGTTGGAGGACAAAAGGGATATTGTCTCTCCCTTCACAGCACACAGCAATATGAGATAGGAGAGTGACCAACTGGGTTGCTGAGCTAAGCATTCCCATGGCCCTAAGTGCTGACCTAAGCACCCTGACTAAGCAAAGATAGGGGTTATTCCTGAGAAAAAAGAAAAAAAAATAGGAAAAATCATAACATTACCCCCTCCTTAAGACCATCATCCTGATGGTTAAGTTAGGGTGAAAACCCCCCCTTTTCAGAAGGAGGTGGCTGATTTGCTGGACCTCTGGTCGGATATTGCTCTTTGCTGTATGTCTTGACTATTTCTGGCTTGTCTGTCGCACCGCCATCTTCATCGTCCTCTATTGAGCGGTATGTGTGCTCGACAGGTTGGTTGATGTATATCTGGCTAGATATCATCTCTCTTCCTTTCATTGCCATGTCATGTTCTTGAGATATAATGTTGAACATGACCACCTTGGCATTCAATCTGTTGTTCCTGTGTTTATAATCATGTATGGCATCCTCCACATTCATATATTTTTCATTGACCCATTGGTTTGACTCCAGTCCATATCTCTTCCAGCTGACTAGGTAGTCAAAGGTTGTTTTCATGCCTCCACCTTGTGCTTTGACTTTTCTGATCTTGTGGTCTAGCACTTCATCGATTTCGTAGTGTTCTTTGTCATCGATGAGTTCTGCTGGTGGTGGAGGCAGTCATTCTTGATTTGGAAAGGCTGGTGCCATATATAGTGTTAATAGTGTTTCATTGAAAACGTTATGAATTTTCCAAGTTGCTAGTAGTTGCAACTTATATGTGGAGGTCCTGATTTTCCGTAGAACCTTGAATGGACCCGTGCATTTGTTGGCAAGTTTTTGCTTTGGTCGTGGCAGGTGTAAGTTTGTCGTGTCCAGCCAGATTTTGTTATTGGGTGAATATTCATGTGTGGCCTATTTGTGTTTGTTGTATTGTTTTTTTATAGTAAGTGCCACTTTTTCAAGAGCTGTTTTTGTCTCTTTGTGGATCTTTGTCATTGTTGTGGCAAAGTCTGCTGAAGCAGATGTTGTTGTATGAACCCATCCTGTTTGCACAATTGGTGGGTTCCATCTGTAATTCACGAAGAATAGTGTTTTATCCATTGCAGAGTGAATTCTATTGTTGTGTTAGAATGCTGCCAAAGCCAGCCATTCCATCCAGTCATCCTGTCAGTAACTGATGAAAAGTCGTAGATACTTTTCAATTTTCTGGTTGGCCCATTCTGTTTGGCCATCTATTTGTAGGTGATATGCTGTTGAGGCATTTCATTTGATGTTGAGAAGTCGGTACAGGTCATCCAAGAATTTGGATATGAATTGTAGACCTCTGTCTGAGATTATCACTTGTGGCATGCCATACTTTGCATAAACCTCATCTCATAGTATTTTTGCCCATCCCTCGGATGTCAATTCTGTGGAACATGTGATTGGTATGATCACCTTTGAGAAGCGATCAACGATAACGATAATTGTGTCATAGCCATCGCTTTCAGGAAGTCTGGTTATCATATCCACTGAAATGTGGGTCCATGGTGATGAAGGGACCTCATTTGGGTGGAGTGGTGCTGGTCGTGCTTGAGTTGATGCCTTGCCCCTTTGATAAGTTTTGCAGGCTTTGACATATCGGATGATATCATAGTCCATTTTGGGCCATCAGTACTCCCTGAGTACTAATTCCTTGGTTTTTGCAATCCTAGGATGTCCGGCGGTTGCATGATCATAGCATGTGACAATGATATCACCACAAAGCTTTTGATCTCTTGGGATGTAGATCTATTCATCATATCGGATCAATCTCCCTTCTTTTTTCAGTCTCTGCTCATGATTTAACAATGGGGTGATTCTTTGATCCCATTTGTGTGGATCCCGGGTGGTGCTCTTGATGCATTTGTGCATCTCTTCTTCCATGGGCATCATCATGGCTTAGAAGTGTTCTGGTCGTAGTAGTACAACCTCCTTGTTGTTGTCTCCTCCCTAGTCATAGTCCACCCTATGGCTGAGGAAATTGGCCTTCTTGTTTGCTACACCAGCCTTGTGGTGTAGCATGTATTTGTATTCAGATAGTTCCATCACCCATCAGGCTTGTCTGTGATTAAGCTTTTGAGGTTGTCGGAAGTATCAGAGGTTCTGGTGATCCATCCAGATTTTGAAGGTCTGGACTGCTCCAATGAGGTAATGCCACCATTCGGCAAGGGTGAGCATTATGGCAAGAAGTTCCTTGTTGTAGATTTCATAGTTGCATTCAGTTATAGTGAGCGCCTTAGATATGAAGGCGACTGGTCACCATTTTCCATCTAGCAGCTTCTACATTACTAAGAGGCCTATTCAAAACTGCCTGGCCATCCTGAGCTGAGTCTCACTCCTGGAGTCAAATTCTCATCTGGATATCTTAAACATATGTGGTAAATAGTCAATGTCAATTTCTATTCAGAGGCTATTTGACTCCTTTCTTCTAGGTCTTTTGTCAATGGCATTGCTCTTGCTAACAAGGATAAAACTGTTTTCTGTTTAGGCTCTAATAGTTCTCAGCAAGAAGGTAATGACACTGAGACAGCTTGACTCACTATAACCAAAGGTGTGAATATTAAGCTACTCATTGACGATAATGACATTACCATCTCTGATCATTCCTTCAAATCAAAACTAATTAAATTACCAATGTTCAGAAGCTTGGATCCATCCAATGACATTGGGGATGTGTCTTATGACACAACCTCATTAAAGATGGAGGCAATGTGGACACATAATAAAACTTGAATTGACAGCTGAAAGCATAAGAAAAGACTATAGTAAAAACATGGAAATAGAAGAAACAACAGTGAGTGCTATATATGATATCATAGCTGTTCTGTGGGACATAGCTAAAATGGAACTGAAAGCTGCAAAATCTGTGACCACAAAACAGATTCATGCAATGAATAATATGGTTGATATGTTGGAAGCTTAAATAGATCTAGATGAATACAGAGCTTATTAAGATGCACTAACAAATTATAAAATCTATGACAAGGAGCTCCTGGCAATCATGCTTGCTCTAGCTGAGTGGTGATACTACTTAATCAGAGCAATGCAGATCTTTGAGATCTGAATAGACTATCAAAATCTTCAATACTTCTAGTTACTCCAGAAGCTCAGTCAAAGGCAGGTATGCTGAGTAACTGAGCTCTCTAAATACCAATACACTCTGCACTATAAGACTGGCACTGCCAATAAAAAGGCAGACCTGTTAAGCCAGCAAGCTGACTATAACTAAAGAGAAGCAGACAATGGTAAAGAGACACTATTAAAGTCTGAATATTTCCAGGTGATGATTATGCTAATAGAAGAAGAGATCTATGAATAAATTAAAAGCACTATGAGACAGATAAGATTGTGAGATCAGTGTATTGCACTCTCAGTCAACCATGCCTGGAGGATGATGAAGACTAATGATATTATCTACTATGATAGCCAAATCTATATTCTCCAAGATCATGCCCTTCATGGGGAAATCATTGCAATACATCATGATCACATCACCACTGGACATCTAAGAATTGCAAAGATAAAGGAACTAGTTTTATGGAACTATTAGTGGCCAAAGATGAGACTGGACGTCAAGAAGTACATCAAGACATGTGAGACATGCCAGTAAACCAAGTCAATAACTTAAGCCTGCACTGCATCTCTCCATCCCAATAAGATATCAACTAAGCCATAGACTCATATTTCTGTTGACATGATCACCAGGTTATCAGACTGTAATGGCTATAATATCATTATTGTCATCATTGATTGCTTTTCAAAGACAATCATTTCAGTTGCATGCTCTATGGAACTGACCTCAAAAAGGTAGACTAAGATCCTTCATGATAAGGTATACACCAAATATA